AATATCGGCGATTGCATCAAGCTTTGCTTGATACCCTCGAAGGAACGCTGGCACTCAGCGTTCCATGACCACTTGACATTTTTCTTGAGCAAGCAAGAAAGATTAACAGTCATCTCGGCGTTGTTGCGCGAGTACTTGTGCAAGTACGCCGCTAGACCAAGGAATTACCTTAGTCCCTTGACATCGACTGGCGCTGGCCAGTCGGTGATCGCCTTGATCTTTTCGGGATCAGGGCGTACGCCGTGTTTACCCACGATGCACCCAAGAAGTGGTATTTTGCTAGCCGCGAATATACACTTCTTGAGGTTGGCATACAACTTATGCTTGCGCATAAGTTAAGAACCTGACGAACGTGAGTTCTGTGAACTTCAACGTCCGTCTTTCCGTCCATAGCCCGGCTATGGACAACACATCGTCGAAGTAACTCGGTGCGAAGTCTCGCACCGGTCTCAACAGATTTGTAACACATCTGTTGGAAGTAGCAGGGGCATTGCTCATCCCCTGTGGCATAACTAGCCACTCCCACAGCATCCCGCTGGGGGTGCTCACTGCCGTAAACGGGATGTCCCGTTTACGCATGAGAATCTGATAGAATCCATCCATCATATCCATGGACGAAAAGATGGTACTCTTTGACATACCATCTATGATTACGTCCTTCCTCGGTATCGGCGTCTGAGACGGTACCGTTGCAGCATTCAATTTGTTGAATGCGTGCAATATCCGCCAACCTCCTGTGGCCTTTCGCACACAGAAGGTCGGAGAGCTGTGAGGGGATGTCAATTCCCTCACATGGCCCGCTGCTACGCGATCTGCAAAGAACTTGTCGATCGCTAGTACTTGTTCACGAGGCAGTTGCCGCTGCTTCATGACACAGTACTTCGAGCCCGGTTTGAGCTCGATCTCGTGTCGAGTGGCTTTGTCCTTAGGCAAATCGCAAGGTACTAATTCAGGGAACACATCCCTGAATTCGATCAAATCCTTATACAAAGGATTTGCCTGAAGTGACTCCCAGGATTGGGACGCGTATCCGTCAATCCGAGTCTTCTCATCGAGAACACTTTCGTCCATCGATGAGCTGCTGAGAACCCGTTCGTTCTCAGCAAATACTGTGGCCGACCGAATATAGGATACATACTCATCCTCTGTGACGAGTATGCAGAACTGCTTGACTTTGCCACTACGCAGATCACGCAAAAACCGTTTCGGTTCTAGCGTTGGCAATTGAGTTATCTCCGAAGTTAACTTCGGAGGCACAATCAGATCAAGCGTATAAGCGCCTACGCTTAATCCGTCATTAACCAAGACGTTCAACGTCTCGGTTACTTCCTGGGAACTTCGTTCCACAGGTTGATGAAGGCCTAATCCTTCAGCAAGTGACTCTTGATGAATTCCTTCCTCAAGTATGTCGGGACTTATTTCCTCGACGTCTTCTGACTGTGGCTGTGCAACCACAGTCAGGGACCGATCCTCTACGGTCGATAGTCCCGTCGACCTTGGATTTCCATGTTGCCCTTTGGGGGCAACAGGTTTCTTCTATCTAAGACCCTACCCGCTAGGCATGCATCCATGTCCCGGTCCACTCGACTTATTCGAGTGGTGGACCTTCGGCGCAGCCTGTACTCCTGCACAGCCGCCGGGAGCTTGCTCCACAGTGTAGTGATCAACTACACTGTGATCTTGTGCAGTCGTGCTAACGATCGTACCGCAAGTGAGGCCATTGCACTCACTCGCAGAACATCCACACGCTTGTGGACGCATCAAGGTGTTCATTAGATGGCCACCTGATGAACAAGTGGAAGGCATCTTCACGGATCGATGCTGCCAGCTCACCTTTGGCTAGTACCTTCTGATCCAACACAGTCCCAGGATGACATTAAATTTGTCATCTAGATCCAGTACGATGAAGTCATCATTGTACTGTTCGCCCTCTAACGTGTAGTGGATTCCTACTACACGTTTCTCAACGGTAATCGATGCGCCTGTTGCAAGGCGCAAAGTCATCCTCGTGAGGAGAATGTCGAGCTCAACGAACTTGAGCCTACGACCCTCTAGTGACTGACGTCGAACAAAGTTGTTCGACGCCCCACAGTCTACTAGGGCACGAAGCGACAAATCATTTGTCGCTCTCGCTCTCAACATAGCTGAGGTCCATTGGTTCTGGACCTCCGATCTCTTGTCGTCTTGGTGGACGATAAGAGTTTGAGCTAGCATGAGCCTGTCTCATGCTGAAGTCTTCCTGTTCCGCGGCTGATATCGCTTCTTCCAGCGTATTCAGCTCAAGGCGCAACAGGTGGCTCCTGACGGGCCCTTCTGCGAGCCCCTGCATGAACACCGTAATCAACGTGTGTTCATGAACTGGATTAGTAGTTATACTACTCGCGAGGAGTCGTATATGAAGTGCGTAAGCGTGCACATCACGCTTACCCTGCTTGAGTTTCAGGAGCTCTGAACGAGCCCTGAACTCAGCCCGTGGCGGCTCAAACGTTTGTCTGATCCGGGACTTGAAGTCATCTAGCAACATAAACACATTTGGGTCGCTACTCTCGAGTCCCAGGTACCAAGTTTTGTCACGTCCTGCCACGTGGGTTTGAGCAAATGTGAGTTTCATTTGCTCATCTTCGACGCGACGAGCCCTTAAGGCTCTGTCGAGTTCGACAAACCATAGTAACAGGGAGTCTTCCGGGACTCCACTGTACTTGGAGATGTCAACTTTCATGACTTCGGGACGACGCGCATGTGCCGTCCCGTCCACAGCAGCATGGAATTGCTGCTGTCTCAACAGCTCTGTCTGTTGAGCACCGAGTTCTATCAACTGCTCGGCCTGTTGAGAGCCTTGCTGGTGAAGCAAGGCTACTTTCTCCCTCTCGATGGCAAGTTCATTCTGAATGAACTTGGCTATAGCGGCATGTTGTTGGTCTCTGTCTAGAGACTCCGACATGGCGCTAATGGCGAACTCGCCTACGGTAGAACTCATTCGTTCTACCGCACCCCATTCGATGTCACTCAAATGGGTAAACCCTTCACGCGTGGCGTGAAAGGTCTCTTCATCATCCAACATGTTCATATTGGATGTTGTGGTCCTTGGAAGGACTACAAAGTGTTACCAGGTGTACCGGGACACACCCTTGCTTGAACTTACGCAAGGGTTTTGGTGCGCCCGACAGACGTACACGAGGCAAACGAGGAAGCGTAGATAAGGGAAAAGTAAAACTGTTGTATTAATATTATTAAGTCTTTTGTTACTGTCTCTCTGTTTGACTTAACTTAATTATGTTAATCTAACTGAGTGTATGGTGACGTCTCGTCACCACTCATTGCGCGCGTCCTGCGGCGATTGGTGGGTTGATATCATCACGATATCAACCAATGAGCAGACCCTTTGGTCGCTTCACCAATATCACCACTATCGGTGATATTGTTTAAAGAATATTCAACTTAATATTCTTTATTGTACATCGTTTCTTTAAAGTGACAATTCCATGTAACGGGCTGCCCCGTTACACTAAGCGTATTTGTCAAGCTAGGACGTGGTGCAAAATGTATATTTTCGAGGTTATCTGGGGCATCTTTTTATCTTCCCTATACAATATTCACATTGACCGATTTCGTTTTATTGACACGCAACGAGCTGACATCGTTACATACAATCGAAAGTCAATGCACCTCATTCTTTTCGCGATGTTATTCTTGATATCACGACATTTAAATTTATTGATATGACCAAATTTTTTGAAAAAACAAAGAGCGAGATTTTGATTGTAAATGAACTCAATCGTACGTATATTTGGAACGACAGTTTAAATTTCTCGTGCAATAAATGCGTAAGTTTTGGTGCATTTTAGTATTTTAGTACTTTTATTTACATAATGTAGTTTATTCATCAATTTATACTTCCCATTTTGCGCCTTCGGGCACCAATGGCCAAGCGACGAAGACCTCCAACGAGCGTGTGTGGGAAGTCCCCTTTCCCTGTGTGGGAAGTCCCCTTTCCCTGTGTGGGAAGTCCTCTGTAGTGGGGCACAGGTACAAAGGAGGGAGGTTTTACCGCCGCTGCGTGCGCTACGGGAGGCAGCGCGGCGCGCAACCCGCAAGGGGCGCAACAACCAAGACAACCTGGGGTGAGGGGGCGCCGTCAGCTGTCGTCCTTCCACCTGGTTCCACCTATGTTACGTCAGCTTCCAAGTTGATGGCCCGGTGGCCGCGCATGATTCCTGGTCCCACGGAGCGAACTTGCCTGGAACGTGATTTGACCAGCCCCGTCCAGGTGCGTCAGCTGCCATTGGGGGTGATCGGAGTGGTACCCGGCGTTTTCCACGACTTCAGCGCCCTGTCAGCACCTAGGACTGGATACTCGATTTCACGTGCCTTTTGCGGAGTGTCACCCATGATGCCTAACGGATTAAGCCAGCAGACTGAGCCAGCGAGGAGGTAGTTTAGGTGGATGCGCACCGATATCAAATAGGGCTTAAGCACTCCATCGACGTTGAGGTTTAGTACAATTACTAAAACTTCCTTCAATTTATGATAGCAATGGTACCTTTTATATTCCCGATCCAAACATATTTTGGAATTTAGCGTGGAACCAGTTAATCAAGGACTAGGGTTAGTGCTTGCATTTCTTTCTTACCCTGATTATAACATCTGCTTCAGTAACGTCCGTGCGCACAATGATCAAGCTTTCATCTACTGGCGCAGCCAAGCAAAACGTCACAGTGACGCGCGACGAAACTCTTTGCCTTCTGCGCAATGTTGTGTCCAGTGCGGCCTGATATTGCACAAACTATCTTCCAATTCAATATCAGTGTCATTGGCAATCGAGCGACTGTATCAATGCGAACAATCACGATGAAAACGGTGGAGGACATGATTCATGTTTGCTTGACACTCGTCGCCACGATCAAGACACTATGTCCACAAGCACCTGCACGCGGAGCTATCATCTGGTGACCTCAGCCCCGCTGCCTCTCTAGAAACAAAATATTTAGCTTTTCACATTCCTAGCTGGCCATCAAATTGTTGCCGCAGCATCGGCAAAAACGCGCCTCGGAAGGATTTTGCGTTGAGCACGAGATGCATAGACCCGGCGTTCGTATTGGCTTGCTGTCGCACGCGCTCTTCGGTATAGGCTTGGGCTTTTCAACAGGGCGCTCAATCAAATACGAACCTGGCACGTATCCACGACTTTTTTTTAGTTCCACTAGCCACCAGCCATCCTCATCCTGTTGCACAAATGAGATTAAAATCAGAAAATCAACAAGACGCGGGCCCCGCAAGGAATCACCGACCTTTTGGAGGATAGCGACCTCGTCGCCCGGATAAATAGTCAATTGTGTGTCATCCTGGGCATCAAATCGATAGCCAGCTATACCCTTAGACACTGGGGTCGTCATAACTCTACGTAACCACATCACAAACACATTAGACAGTTTATACAAGATTCATTAGCAGCAATAAACACGTACGAGGGGCCGGAATCGTTACTCAAAGCTAAGGCATCGTGCTTGCACTTGGCGCATACTGCTTCGCTTTCGTGCTCAAAGAAACTTTCTGCTGGACAACAGGAGCAAACAAACCAATTCAGAATAAATGTCCAGTAACGCATAGATTCTACCCGGTAGCCGATGAGTTGTGCGTACCTGAAAGGGAAGCACTGCATTGGAAGCACACGAAGCAGTCTGGGTGGTAAAGGTGATCAAGGGCCTTTACAACCTTTCCTTTGAGAATTCTGCTGCATCGGTGACACGTTTTGCCAAAACGAGTTTGGTAACAAGCTTGGTGAAATGCCTAGAAGCATTGCGTATTGTTAGCGTGGTGCACGTAACATATTTTAGTGCATAAACAAGCAGTACCTGATTATCCTTTTCGGCGTAGCCATCGTCTTCGGCAATAACGCGACTGCACTGGGAACACTTAAAACACTGTCAAGTACAAACAACACCATTTTTAGCTCGTCGCTCGTACAAGTTGCACATCGCGCATGCCAGCATTGGTCACAAAATACACACGCACCTCGTAGTGAAAGTACTGGTTAAGAGCACCAACGGCTTCGCCTTCGAGAACGAGGCCGCATCCACCACACAACTCACGATCATCCTCATCATCAGAAAAGGCCCCTTCAATTTCGTTCACATCTCTTTCAATCGTTGAGCGCCGCGGCCTCGTCTGCTCTGCAGCTCCCTCTGCAATACCGCTGAGGTCGGACGTACGATCGTCACCGTATGACTCGAGGTCAAGTACCTCGGACAACCGCATCGAGTCTCTTTGACCGGTCGCCATGTATCCAGTATAATCGCCGTCGCTAAGAACCGAGTCCAGATCCGACACGGCCGAAATTCGACTATGATGGCCCGACAAGTCGAATGGCGTAGCCTCCAAATCAAACTGATCCAGATTTGATGTACTGGATCGAAAACCGTCTGTCCCAGATCGACCTTTTCCGTTCGAACCAACTGCAGAAGTCTTTAGCAGCACTCCAGCGTCTACTGCATTTGACTCTGCATGAAAACGCGCTACTGCGTCAGCTTCTACCTTCGCCTTAGCGCAAGCAGCCTCCTCTGCTTCTCGCTTCTGTCGTTCCTTCTCTTCTTCCAACGCCCTCGCTGCAGCAAGAGCTGCCTCCTTTTCTTTTTTCAATTGGGCGGCAGCTCGTTCGCGTTCGAGCGCAGCTTCTCGCTCCTCTTTTTCTTTTCTCTCGGTTTCCGCAACGCAGTCACTGCACACGAGAAGGTCGTTAAGCAACTTCGCTCCAGCCTCTTTCGAGTGTTTGTTGCACGATGAGCAGACCATGCAAAGTTTGTGAAAGGCGCCGCCGTCTGCTCGATACACTCGGCCCAAAATCTCCTTCTCGCACACAAAGCAGTGGTTGACATCTTTCGCGCAGTCTGCATGATATGCTTTCTTCTTGATAAGTGCAAACTCTTCGTCCTCTTCGATCGGCTCGCGACAGCCTTTGCACAAAAGACAGATTTCGTGAAAAATCTGGTTCTTGCACACCTTTGTTCGGCCTAGTATCGTTTCCTTGCAAGCGCAGCACTTCCTTAACTTGCGCACCTCACCAGGCTTGAATTTGGTGCCACCCGACTTGGCGTCAGCACGCACGGGTCCAGTCGGTGGCCTTGGTGCGCATGAGTCTGCAATTTGAAGTGGTTCTAGCCCAAGTGGAGACTGATATTCGACGCCTGGCTCGATACCCTGTGCGTCGTTGTCTTTGGCAGTGCGTTGCATCTCTAAAAACCTCTGATTAGAAGCCTCCCGAGCAGCCAGAATTGCGGCATCCCTTACAGGAATAACGGGGTTCTCAATGTGCAAATACGAGCCCGGCACAAGGCCCTTTTCACCATCCTTGATAATAAACCACCAGCCGTCACTGTCTTTGCGCACCACATCCACCTCGTCGCCCTTCGACAAGGCTAACTGCGTGCTCGGGTCCTGCGGCACAAAGTTGAAACGCGCTTCAGCTCTCTCCTTGCGCACGGGCTCTTGCACGGGCTGAACGCTGCAGCACAACATACAACACGTTGTCCAACCGACACGCAATGGCACAACCTCGCGTCAGTCAGTCAGACCGTCGTCGTCGTCGGTGCAAGCCATTGCTCCTCTTCCTGTTCGTCTACCGCACTCACCCCATCATCTTGATACGCGCGGAAGCAGTAAAGGCCGTCGGTACCGCGGGAACGCTCATGTGGTCGCCCCCAAGCACCTTGGCCGCCATCTTCCACGGGTTCTCCTTGGCCGTCACCTGCTCGCCACCGCCATCACGAGCAGCTTCCGATTAGCGCCCGCTGCTCTCTACACGGCTGCTCAGACAGACAGACACACACACGCACGCACCGCTGCTTCGCCGCACTTGTCGCACGCGTCAGCCTCAACAAAGTCTCCGCACCTGCCACCGCCACGAGAGCAACAGACGCACGAGCGTTAGATCGACCGCTGCGGCTGCGAGACAACAAACACCCAACCAGTCACGATCGACGCACCGGGGACAAAAGCTCGGCATGGCCTCCGTTCGCGCTCTCTGTGCGCTCGGTCGAGTGGGTAGTAGTACTGATACTGACGAAGCGGTCCGTCCCCTCTCTCTGCTCGACGACACGGCGTTCGTTGCACACGACGAGCGTGAAAGAGCAGGGCCGACGTGAGTTACACTCGAGATTGTACCGGGGACGTAAACGAGGCGAAATGAGCATGTCAACTGAACGATTGGCAGAGCGTCGTCAGTCGGACCTTTGATTGGTCAGAATGACTACTCGGTTTTAGCGAATCGCTGCGCAACAACATCCTTGGCTGGCACTGCCACAAGTGCCCAAAATGATCCTAGAAGCGCTGCGAGCTGGCGCGGTGTCCGCTGGGACGCTGCTCCGTCTGCGCGAGCTCGGAGTGTGTATGCGCTGCTGCATGCGGTTCGCTTACATTGAGGACTTGGCCGCCTATGCGTGCGTTGATTGGCCCACCAGGGCGGACGTTTCTCCTGAGACGCCCGTGACACACGTGCCAAAGTCCTTAGCTGCTCATAACTCGTATCGCTCTGCTCGCTGTTGGTTTTGTTTTGGATTCGACAGAGAATCGGACGAAAAGATATTGCAGGCCGTGCAAGATTTTTCCACGGAAAGCGGCGTGGTGGTCGTCGATCCGCAGCAAGTGTCGGGTTCGTGGCATGGACGTGTCAATGAGACAGGGGTAAGGTTGACCTGCTTTTGCCAGGTTGTACGTGCTGTCTAGGCATCTTGAATGCACCGCTCGTAGAACAGGTGCTGGCTGACGTGCAGCAGTTGGCGGAGAAAGGAGACTACGACGTTAGGGATTTCGCACTCAACATAAAACTACCCGGTGTGGTGCTGTTGCGCGAGTACTCGCTATTGCGCTTTATACACCCAGACACAAAAAAGTGTGCACGGAAAACACCGTTTGATCTTAAAGATGTGCTGAAGGTTTGCAGCGTGTGATGCCAATGGACTGCAGTCTCCTCTGTGGTCGATATTCACCGATTTTGCATTTGTATTGGACAGTCTTTACTAGCGCCATCCATTTCACGGATACTAGCGAATGCCGAGTGCGTTACAACCGGTAAATTTGCAGTCTTGCTTGACATAAAGCACGATGAGTCCGTTGATGAAGTGCGCCAGATCCCGGCGATCAAGGTATAATGATCAGCTCTGAAATCGTGGTGGTATTGTGTCTCATTCTGTGCAACGATTCGGTCCCTTGTCTCTATCTCGCAGAAACAACTAGAAGGGTCGCGGAAACGCGGTCGTGGTCCACTTCCTGTATTTGATGGTTTTGGTGCAGTATCCCGCGCTCTCGCTGCACTTCAAACGATGCCTGAGACTATCAAGAGTCCACCGACTCGACTCACGACTACACCGCACGCTGTGATTACGTTTGAGCGCGACCCGGTGTACATGCAGGGGCGATACCTAAAGTTTCAGCGCGGACTGAGCCAGACACCGTGGGTGTTGGATGGCGAGCGATTGGGTGAGTCCTCTGTAGAAGAGTGCATTGGCGAGATCGCGCTGCCCTTTTTTCGGGGCTCAAGCTACAAGTTCCACACAGCTGGTCGCGAAGATGTTGACGTGCGTATGCTAGGAAATGGGAGGCCATTTATTTTGGAGATTTTAGGTAAGCTCCAACTACCTACGTTGTGGACATTGTGAAATGATGTTGTGATTTTGGGGACTCACCGGACCCGTTATGATTTGTAGACGCCAAGAAAGCGTACCTGGAGCAGTTTGAATACGACCATATACAAAAGGTAGTAAACGATGCGAATCGAGGTGCTGTTGAGATTGTCCAAGCCAAGAGCTCTACCAAGGACTATTTTGCGGGACTTCAAGCTGGCGCAGACTCGAAGATGAAAACCTACTGGTGCTTTATCTCTTTGAAAATCATGTGGTGAACATTCGTTTCAGCTGACGGTGGTGTGTCTCTTTTACTTATCAGTTGTGTCGTGTGGTCGGAAAATGCGTTAACACCCGATGCTATTGCGAGCATCAATGCCATCCACGATCTCACGATCGAGCAACAGACTCCTGTCCGCGTACTGCATCGCCGAACGCAAATGACTCGGCCGAAGACGATTCATTCTGCCAAGTGCGAGGTGCTAAACAAGCACTACATGTTGTTGCGCCTCTCAACTTCTGCGGGAACGTACGTCAAGGAGTTTGTGCACGGCGACCGTGGCCGCACCACTCCCAACGTCGCATCCATGCTGGTACGCTTCGAAGCTATGTCTAGGCATGCTGCTGTTCTCTGACGTTGCTGTTTTTTGTGACGCTTGAAAATCAGGGCTGCGACGCTGACATTATACAACTCGATGTCGAATCCCTTATTGACGCTCAGTAGCCGGCCAACTTTTGCATGTCTTTTGGTCATGCAACATTCGACATAAAGGTGGTTTCGGTCGTCTCGTTGTGAGGCCAGTACTAGAAGTATCGAAAATTAAAGAGCTTATACAGAAGCTTGTCTTGTTTTTTCCAAGCTTCGTCGCAGAATTATGGCGTCTCGGGGAACCTGGCAGTAGTGTGACCGTCTAATTCGAAAGTTTGCTTGTGCAATGGACAGCCAAAGCTAGCTATTGAGCATCTGTCGCCATGGACGGTGCAAGACGGACGTTTGCACATGCGTGCGATAGCTTATACGACACCACTTTCATTGTCTCTTCTTTTGCTTGTTGTAAACTGACTAAAGTACTTTATCAGCACTCGCGACATCGCGATTCTGCTGACTTTTTCCATCTTTTTACCGCATTGTATTGTTATGTCCATGTAAACAGCGGATGTGTTTTGTCTGCACCACTGAAGCGATTAAAATTACAAAACGTTCTATGATCCGTCAAGGAAGATGAGTTGGTGCAACTGGTTTGTATTTTACAGTAGACTACGTCTTGCTGGCTTTGATGTCATCGACTCAGTGCTTCACTATCGGCAACCACTCACCATAAGCATTCGAGCCTGAGAACTGGTCTTACTTCTCCGCGGCCACCTCCATTTTGGCCATCGACTAGACAAAGGGCAAAGGATGGAACGACGCAATAGCATACACGACGTGCTCGTCTTCATTATGCGGGGAATACGACACGACGTCAAAGGCGCTTAAGATCACGCAAGTCAAGATTCGTCGTCGGCATTGGCAGCTGTCGATATTGCGGAAATGAGGCGCGAAGCTTAGTCGTCCGTCGCATTGTCGACTGCTCTCCTCCGTACACCAGAGTACCCGTAGATCGACGCACAGAGTCTGCACAGTCAGTCGCCTTCGGATAAGATCCGCTGGATGTCGGCCACCCATGTTGTGCAGAGCAGCGGCCGTCCGATCGAACGTGTGGCATAGGCGCTCTTGGATGAACGTTGGTAGGGCCAACAATCACAACATGACGAAAGCCCTCGTTGAGCGACAGTTCGATGACCTCTCCTGAAGCAGTGACTCTTACCGCAAAGAAAGCAAGCACGTGAGCTGTGCATGGCCAGGCGGGCGCCTGGTAGCACACTGACGCTATTTGCGCTGTTCTGTCGTGCGTCGAGCACGTAGTAATGTGTAGAGTCAGTCCCGTGGGCCCTAATCGACGTCATCGCACCTTTCTGGTGATTGGGGCGCGCAAGAGCTGTGGCTCCACGATGGGTCGATCGATGGGTAGAACCAGTGCGTGCGTGGATCTAGCGGAGCTGGTTTTGGCAACTTGTTCGTAATGCCGGGCGCTGTTTTGTAACATTGGACAAAACAGCGCCCAGCATTACGAAGCGCACAACAACTTCGCGACCGGAAAGCGCTCATAAATAGACCACGGACACCACTAGCACTCGCACGTCGTGACCTCTTTACCGTACATAAAAAGGACAAGCGCTGTGTAACGTTACGAACGTCATGGATTCTGACGAGGTGTCGCTATCTAGTCGACGTCGTGTCGCTGCTTTAAAGAATAGTTGCCCTTCTTTTTTTGTGGGTGATTGTGACCAGATTCGGTTTGCCACTCACGCATTCAACTGAGCCTCAGGAGTCGCGAATTTAATGACTTCTGGTACAGCGGCCGCAGCAATTGGCTGGTACATTTTGCAACGGTGCGGCTTTGTCGCCATGCATGCTGGAACGTTGTAGTAAAGAGGGCTCGCTGTATTCGGGCAGTTCTCGATGCAGTAGTTCGTTGCAATTGCGGCTGAGTTGAGCCTTGCTTTGTTGCAATTATTAGACTTTCGACAAGACAGCTCTTTGACTTAATCAATTTTTACATGTTGCTGAGAAGGCGAGAGAAGCTAAGGAGCTGTACTTGTCCATGCCGTTCTCGTTCAGTGCCCATACAAAGGCCGTAGTGCAAATTGGCGGTTTGATAGGGTGGCGCCAGATTGGTCGTCATGTTGTGCCAAATATCGCTTGCTCTGTCGTTCGGACAAACGATTTTTCACTATCGAACGACGAATTGTCGTTCATCACAAAGTGATGAATCAAATGCATGACCGTGAGTCTTGCAGAAGCACATTCGAGTCGCGCGAGGTATGAACGGCTTCATTGCAACAATGCTGCTTCGATGACTCGCGAAAGAGCAATCTGCCATCCATCGTATGTATTCAACTCTATAATGAAGGCATAATTTGCTATCACTAGACAATGGCCTTATTTGCAACCTCAATTTGCGGTGCAAGACATGCAAAAGAAAACAAGCGGTGTGGTTCCGCGTGACATTGTAGCAAGTTGTAATCCCTACAAGTGAAGCTGTTTTAGTATGACGGATCTCTAGATGAACGACTTCATTCAACAACAGAAATAGCTTCTTAACTAATGCGTGTATGTTGGTGATTGGTGGATCATGCGATAAACTGATTGCTTGTTATTTCAGTCTTTACAAAAAGGAGCTAGTTCGTGTTGATTGTGTCGTTCATAATCTGCAGCTGACCAGAATTGGAATCAAAAGGGCAAATCGAGCTTGCCGTGTCAAAGCCTGCAGCACTACGCTAGACCATACACAATGTTTGTGTATTCAGCACCAAAAGCTACTCTACGCATCGAAGTAAGAGCTCACACGCAAGCTCTAAATCAAAGCTGAGAGAGAAACGGTTGCGGTTTGTAAAATACCAAACTTTTGGCGAACTATTACGCGGTACAAGATCGTTATTCTGTCTGCACATTGTAACCTACGCATCATCTTTGGGAGGTAAACGCTCGAAGCAGCGCACGACAATTGAACCAAAATGGCAATCGCTTGGGGGCAGCGAGCACTGACAGCGCTCGTGGGAATACCGCTGGCGCTGTGTCTGCTCGTATCCGACGTGGGTGTGCTGCTTCTGGCTACATCGCTCTGCTGCTTGTCGCTCGTCGAGTTCACCGGCAACATCTGTCCGCCTATTGTGCCGCAAGCAAAGACAGAGACGAATAAGCACTTGCACCGCCTGCTTATCGTTGCGTCGGGCGCCGTACTGTGTGCAGGCGCATGGACAGGCGTTCGCATCGTCTATGGTTGGGAAATGCAATTGTAGTGCTGCAGTAGAAGAGTTTGTGTCCTGAGGTATAGCTGCGGATTCTGATTCTGTCGTTTGTGCGGTTGCAGACACTTTGCGTCTCGGTACGCTACTGACGATGTTCACTTTCCACGTTGCGACTGCAAGAAGAGTGGACCAGACAGGTTCGAGTGAATATACATAGCTTCGTTGTGGTGCGCTGCCGATGCTCTGACAACAGTCGTGTTGCTGTAGCGCTAGTCAAGTTGCTGCTGGACCTCTTTGCGCTGCTGTACATCGTGGACGGCTTTGGCCACGCCATATTGCTGCGCTATAGCTCCAGCAAGTACGGACTGGGACTGCTATTGCTTGGCCTGTGCTGCGCCTGGGTATGCGACAGTGCCGCCCTTGTAGCGGGGACCTTATTGGGCAATACCAAGCTGGTACCGGTTGTCAGTCCTGGCAAGACGTATGTAGGCACCATTGCTGGAATCGCCTCGAGTGTTGCTACAGTGCTAAGTATGTTTGCTTTGTCGGACTTCGCGACCGCGTTGTCGGTCGTGAGAGAAGATTGGCCACCGAGCCTGCTACCCCCTCCACAGACGGTGCCTTTTTCACACCAAGTTTTACTGGGTGTGGTGCTTGGCGCGTTGTGCATCCTGGGAGATCTCGTGGAGTCATTTGTCAAACGCGTCGCCGGAGTCAAAGACTCGGGGGCCTTTTTTCCAGGTCACGGTGGCTGTCTCGACCGCATGGACAGCTTCTTGTTCGTTGCGCCGTGTCTACACTACTACTGTCAGTTTGCACTCACATAAAGAGGTGTGCGGTACTCCTACACGCACATCAATAGAGACTCAACGATCAAAGCTGCTGCTGTCTTGCGATTTACAATGTGGCATCAACGGCCTCCTCAACTATCGCTCCAATGCTGTGCTTGATTTCAGGCTCCGACGGATCGCTCAACAGCGACGACTTTGTCAGCGCTACCAGAGCCAGGTCTTCCACGCCAACGTCCCCTCGTTTTGACTTTGAGTTCTTCCGAAGAAACTTCTGGCGGTCCTTACGAGACCCACCAAACTTGCTCGAGTACCCTCGAATGCGATCCCTGCAGCCATTCGCGTCAGTCACTAGCACACGTTGCATAGTTGCAGTGCCTAACACCAACAAGTGATTTTGTGTAGACGTACGTGATGACGCCCGCATCGATGTCGTCGAGCTTGAAAGAGGTTCTGCGCATCGCCATCGTGTAGTCCGTGACTCTGCCGTCGCCCATACCTCGCAGTGCGTCCAGCTTGGCGACCGACTCGGCTTGTTGACGAGCAATGTCGTCGTACACGCACTTTTCGTTGTGTTTCGTGCACCAGTAGTAGACGCCTACACACACGAGTAACAAGACGCACATGTTCGACCCAAACGAGGACTAGGCGTGGCGCCGAGTAAGACACACACAGGCACAGAAGATGGCATAATCTCGTGCAAATACACACCTTCACCATGCCCTTCGCAATCACGCCAAAGACGACGAGCAGCAGCAGATAGTGCGTCCGGGGCTGCATGACGACGCGTCGCTAGTGCGTTTTTACACAATGAATCAATTGGACGGATAAGACGCACATGTTTGAGCATTTGAATGATCTATCATCATTCTAAACAGGCCGTCCTAAATCTGAGAGCCAAGGCAGACATTTTACCTGGCATGACCTCACAGTCGCTGTTCGGCTGGACACTTATTGCGACACGCAATTTGTGCAGCGAATTGACTCGGATAGATTGTACGATCTTATCGAAATGCGCAGATAATTAGCTAATTAAACGTAGTCGGTTCATTGTCTGCGAGAATGTCATCCCCTTCGTCGGCTATTGCTACTTATTGGGCGTACCCACCGGTCATGAGCCTATTCAGAGGTGAGGAATAAGCTTCGCCCTGACGGCGATGCTTACCCGTGAGTGATTACATGAGCAGACTATGCATGAGTTGTTACGATTACGCCCCATGAATGTCAACGCTTGATGCATGCCTGTCCCAAGAGCGTGAGAGGTTTGGCTTTCGCAATCTGTTCAGGTACGCGAATAAATCGTCATGGACTCCTTCACAATCACTTGGAATTGATTAAAAGACAGCCAAATACTCGCAACGCTTCAACATCGACTACTTGTAAGCCGATACACGATTCCCATCGCTCTCACAACGTGCAGAAATGGACAGGCGTAGATGAACGAGTGGCGGCAGAAAGTAGGAATGGTTCCCGCATATTGAGAGCTCGTGACTTGCCGACGACATCACGACCACAAAACGAATTGACGCGCGTTGGTCATCACCTACTGACGCCTACGCAGGCGAACGCGTAAGATTTCTGCCGCGTTTGGGTGACTCGAGAGCTCGCTTAACACGCTTTTATTCGCGATGAAGGCATACGAGAAGTAATCGGTCAAGTAGGACTCTCTTCACGCTGCGATAACGTTCGGTGAAGTTGCTTTTACTAAGAAGGGGACTCAATCGCACCACATGGACCTTTCGAATGCGATATGACCCCTCAAACTAAGTCTCACACAACGTGGCACCGACTGAGTTGATCCTCGAGCTTCCGACTCTGTTCCTTGTAGCTCACTTTCCAATTGCCAGACAAACACAATGGTCCACCGCCGATCTACACGTACAGCCACCAAAGCTCCTCCTCCTCCCCGGAGCTCGTCCAAAATGAAGCAAAACGCCATTGCCAGCTCCTCTTCCGTGCGGCTGTTCATGTGCTCAGTCATTTTGCCCAATCTGTTGATGGTCGCCGTGGCCCTCGTGGCCGTCTGGTTCGAAGTCACGACCAGCGACTTTTACGTGCAGTCAGCCGAGCTTTTGTCTCTGCTCAAGCGCTCGTTCATCTTCTGGGTCTGTCTGGCTGTGCGGATGCAGCTGAAAGACTTTGTGACGCCTCCCGAGCATACTCGTCGCGCCCCGTCGCTTTGGAAAGAGGGCCGGCGACACACCCGCGCGCTTTTTGCTGCAGTGGCTGCAAATTTGCTGGGAACGACAATCATTCGTCCGGTGTTTGGCGCAGCACCGCAGTTCGAAGACACTGTGCGGCTCGTCGTGCCCATCTACTTCCTCGTCGAGGTCGTGGTCGACGGCCTTCGCTTCCCGCTCCCTTTACTCACGACAGTTGTTGGCCTGAGCGTCAGTTGGCTGAAGGCCGTGACGATCCCGAAACTTGTCATGGAGTGGCAGTCGACCACCAGTGCGCATCCGATAGCGTTTCTTGCGATTTCGACGGCCAACTTGTACGCCAGTGGCCTGGTGCTGCGGTATCTGGCAAACTACGCTCGGACACGTCGTGTTCTGGACGTGTCTATGGAGACCGTCACTTTCCTTGTCAAGAGCGTTGGAACCAGTGCTGCTGTTGCTGTCGTGGCCTACGTCGCAAATCATCTCATGGCGAATAAGGAACGAGTACTGGAGGCCCGTGCTCTCTACTTCATTGTCGCATGGTTTGTGCTGGATAAGTACTGGAAGAAAGCAGTTCGAGAGCTGCTGATTTACCTGTGTCTGTCAAAAGAGAAGTCAAAGGGCGAGTAGGACGAGGGCTTTGCAAGCATTATGGACATATCTGCCACGCACGTCATGGCTAGTCTTAGAACTTTCGTGTGTCTGGATCCGGCCGGCCTTAGCAGGCAGTCAACTGGACGTACATTGCCATCAAAATGCACACCTATGTAAAGAACTTCTTTTGCGTTTATCTTGCCGATTATATCTTTTGCTGCTTGTAGGTGGCTTCTTGCTACAAAGGTCAGTCCCGTACCTACTACCTAGTATTTGCGATCACGTGTACGCCGTTGCCACGCATCAAAGCATCCGTTGCATCACTTGAACGCAACTTTGTAGGCTCGTAAAAAGTATGCATTGCAAGTGCGTTGATCAGCAGGAGGGTAACCGACCACTAAGTACCAATTTACACTCATATCGCGATCCATTCAGCAAAACCGCATCGTTTTGCAAATACAGGTTCGACAACCTCAGCCTATCAGGCAACAACGCGCAAGGTTGTTCGCAGCATTAGTATATCCAAATCAACGACAGACCCAACTGGTGTTGACCATCGAGTCGAAAAATGGTCGTTTACTTGGCCGGTGGCTGGCATCGTCTTATTGGTGTACTGCTCATAGCAGCAGGACCGGCATTCAGACGGGCAATCCAGAAATTCCTACGAATCGAGAAGTTTCTGCTGGCAACACAAACAAACGCTTCCGGATAAACTATTGTGCAGCTTCTATTGATGTTGTCCTTGCCTTGATCGTCGCACATTGCACCAGCGAAACACGTATGTACACCACAAGCCTGTTGAGACTGAAGCCGAACGCGTTTGTGGTATGCATGTGTCTCGAGACAGTACTACCCGCTCGCGCACATCGTCTCGGACCTGAGCTTTCGCTAACGCAATAGCCGTGCAATAACACCGCTTCGTCACCAGCGAAGAGTTGAAATCGTCGACACTAGTCGCGACGTCCTTGTTTCAAGGCTTGAGCTCTTATCGCATACTCGCAAGTGCCAGAAGTTTCGTCGACGTTTGCAGTCTTACCACTCGTAAATATGTTGATTGCCAGCTTAGACAAGGAACGAGATCAATGAGACTGGACTCGCTACATTTGCAGCACGCACGCAGACAGTCAAACGTGTCCAGCGTTTTAGTAGGTGGAGGGACGCTGACGATATGTCGCCCAACTTTCTTGCTCGGGACAAAAGCTTAGCAACATCACGACATCTTGGCACACAAAACTTGTTGTGCGTCAAAAGAAAATAGCGTTGTATCTGTTCACAAAGTATCTTGTGTGCTCTGGTAGCGCTCCGTGGTGATCTACTCTGCTATCCGCCATAAGCTCTATCCGTCGTTCAGGTCGTGCTTTTAAGAGAGCCAAAAGCGCTCAATGCATTGTTGTTACCGGAGTGTTTGGCGCTAAAAATTGCGTCGATTGCGACTACGATCATCAAAACGTCAAAAAATGATCACTTGACATCGCTGCGTCACAGAGAGAGAGAGACAGTGATGAAGCGTGACGTGTCATCGGCCAAAGCTTTTCCATTGCAACGACAACAGCTGAACTAAAAGACAAAGCAAATTTTGCGTCAAGTGGAGGTCCAGTGTTATGATTACACCACCGTCTCGATGCTCGTGAAAAAGAGGCTTGACGCGAAACTGCGGTGCACTACGAATGACAGTCGAGTACTGTCGACATGCCCTCGATTTCGTGACAAACGAAAGGTTGTAACTGTGCGTCCGCCTCCTCGTCTGTTGTCGCCACGTAAGGGTACAACTTGGTGCAGCCCGAACGACACAAAAGCAAAGAGTTTTATCTCAGGTGCACACCTCAATGGTGAAGCTCACGGATCAGCAACACGCTGTCAGACGATAGGGTTTCTCTCAGCCCCAGCAGCGACGAGCTTTGGAAAAATCGCATACACATGCGAACATGCAGCTCAACAAGCGGTGCGATACGCGAATACCGATCTTGCGATTGCAGAAATGACATGTTTTGAGTATGGAAAAGTCCCTAAACTTTCACGTGAGTTAAGTTCAGCCGTCTTTTGACACAAAAATATCGCTGCACATACATACGTCGGCAGCCGCGCGTGGCTGTCGCTGTCACTCGCACTGCTTCGAGTGTGCCACTCTGACTTCCCTTCGCTCAGTACACAATTGGAGCAGCAGCATGTCCAGCAGTTTCGCGCGCTACGCCCGAGCGCCCATCGAGCAAGAGGTCGAGGAAGAGTTGGGCTCTTGGGTAAGTAGTGGAGGGCTGTCATTGCAATGCAATACCACGTGGAGGCTGACCTGTGACAACGAATGGCTCGGGCAGAAACAAGAGACGCGGCATTTCCTGCTCCAGGACGTGACCTCGTCGATCACTTTCGCAGCGCGTGAACTCGAGCGGATCGATTTTATGTGGGGCCGCATCCGCTCTGACCGTGACGTGACTTCTACTGCGATTGACGCTGTTGTGCGCGTAGAGGTGCGTTGGCAGAGGACATGGGCCTGTCTGTACTGATTCGACTTCTAACGTTCGACTATACTGTTGTATATCGTATTGTCTTTCGAGACGATAGGGCCATCTCGTGGTGTTTGCGAAAGTGATACCCAAGTTGACCAAAGCCCAGCGGAACGCTCCGAGCAGTAGCACGTACGAGCGATTGCAATGGCTGACACGATCTGATGATGTGCTTGTTGTAACGTGCTTACTGTCGAATGGATATCAGACTGCAGCATTATTGCGTGTTGGACCAGATCCTCGAATTCCACGGTATCGTACAGAGCCAAGCGAGGAACCTCGTGGCGCTTGAGAAGTTTATGCGCGCGCAACGTTGTGACGTCATGGACGACCAGTGCAGCAACGAGAACGTCGAGGTTTATGTGGAGATCGTGCAGCAGACGTACCAGAGTCTTGGTCGTATCTGCCAGGAGCTGCGCAACGCTGCTAACGTCCTGCGGCTGCCCAGCCGTCGTCGATTCCCGTACTGCTCCCACGTTGACCACGTGCGTGCCTACTATACAAATTTGTGCAAAGGCTTTGTAATTGTCGACTAATGCTTATATAATGGACAGACCTTCCAGCCGGCGCTTCCGTCTGAAGTCATTGTTGACTTTTCGATACATCGAGGCGAATTGGTACGTGCATATACGTGCGCGTCATAGTTTCGTCCGACCTGATGTTGTTGTGTGTAATATTGTAGCTGGTCGAAGCTTTTAGCCTCGTGGCTACTCAGAAAGCGATCACGAATATACCCGAGGGCTGTGCGTCGAGGAGAGAGTTTGTCGGCTGCGTATGGTAAGCATCGTGGCGTTTGAGGATACTCATACAACGCATTGATAATGATGCAAAAAGACTGATGGTCGTATCTTATCATGGCAGCACTTTCCGAGGACAAAAAGTCGAAATTGTTGAGTACACTCGAGTGTCCGTGCCAATTCCGCCGCTAGAAGAGATGCTGGTTCACCTCGACGAGCAAATTATGTGGCTCGGTCATGTTCGAGATAATGCGAAAGCATTGCTTGATTGTCAAGACATGTATCATGATAAGTACTAGCGAGCAGCCAGCCGAGTTGCTATGCTACACTCGATCCGGTGCATGCGCGAGTCGCCGTGTACTGAGACGATGCGCAACTTCTACATAAGTATAGAAATTTTGATCATAGACCGAACGCTTATGCACTTGTTATCTGTTTCATGTGCAATAGTACAGTCACGACGGCCGTCGCTTTTGGCGTGCAAGTGGTCAGGTACGCAGTACTTTGCAGTCTAGGTTGTCATCCTTTGGCCATTTAGCAAAGTATGACGGTCGGTACAGATGTGACTAGCAAGACGGACATGGGAAGTTGGGAAGTTGATGGAAGGATTCAAAGACAGCAATCGCCTTCATAAGAACAACGCAAAGAGGTTGATATGGTCCGGCGCCAACTGGTCTACAAAGAGCCAGCCGACACTTTTGTTGCTATTGAGAAACGAAAAGTCGACGTACTGCCTGAAGTCGGAAAACAAGCGGTAAACTCAACGGGTGCAGCCACGATAATACACATCAATGAAGCAAAGACGTCATTGTATAAATTCACAAATGCAAAAGCTTCCAGTGAATTGTTTTTCGAGCTGAAGTTTGTGGCTTTATGTCAACGAAGTCACGCATGTAAGCGCATCAGATATGTAAGCAATGCGATAAGCACAAGGTGATTGGAATCGTATCTCAGCAGATGAACAGACGGACAACGCAAGGCACAAAAAGGTATCCTGAAACGTTTAGTTTCAGAACGTAAGCGCTCACTACAGCGATCCTCGTTTGGTTGCACGTCCGTGGAACTACTAAGCAACTGCGTTGACGAGAGCTTGTAAAGATAAAAGCAAAATTAAAACTGGTACGTTGCGTTGAAATGGTGACTTTTCAATGTACCGTTGTCGACCATCTCGGGAATCGCGCTGCAGCATTTACACTTCGGCTGCATGCATGTTACATAATCGCCATGTTGTCATGCGGTATCAACTCGTGTTTTAGGTTTACGCTGCTACTTCATGATCGATAATGCTTGCACATCTACAAGTGTCAAATGCATTGAGCATTGGCAGAACAGAACAGAATCTGCACTTTGTTTCATGCAATGTTTACCGGTACGTGCGAAAACGGATACAAGACACCTGCTCTCTTGCAGGATGCGATGAGGCATTGCTTGACATTATACTGCACTCACGTGAAAGGCATCGTCTCTCAATTCATACCAAGGCCTCCATTCGGACATTACCATGTAAATGGGATTTCAACTTGATAGATTCGTGTCTTCGGCGACTGCCAGATCTCATTCGCCATGTTATCGGGTTAGAAGACGCTTCAGGTACATGTCGGATGGGAATGGTCGACGCCATCGCACTTACAAATGTTGATATATCACACACGCTCTACGTGATACAACCTAATAATGTAGACATTTTTAGGTCGTATCACAAAGTATGAAGTCTTGACATTTTGTGATGGAAGTGCAGGAGCGACAACGGAATCAGGAAGGACACCGCCATGCACATATGTTATACGAGTAACCAATGCATCGGTCAGCTGATTGCACATTCATGTGCAGATAGTCGCAATTCGTCGACAAAGCATGAACGTTGTTATCCAGGTTGCAGTAACCACTAGCGATAAAGGTCTGGCTAGCGTCATCTAGGACCTGGCGGCCGACGTCAATCGTTGAGAGGTGGTGCATCGAAGCGACATGTAACTTATGTGGTGCTGCGCCTGTTCGATGATCTTTCTGGTCGTTGTTCGACAAATGCTATCCAAAGTATCCATTCCAACTTTTGCCTTCGTACAGGGTTCGCGTGACCAATGCATTGTCAACAGATGCACACCTGCTATCCCTCCGTGTCATCCTTTGAGATAGACACACCAGGGCACCATCATCGCCACCATCATACAAAACTGATACATCAAACCCAATCGTGGAAAACGATGGTCTTAAGCGTTCAAATTTCTACCGGCGAGCGTCCCATCTACTACTGCGAGCTACGTAGTTATGACATGACCACCGCCCGCATTTTCAAATGTTCGTCCTGGATCAGCTTCTCTAGCTTCGACACGTTCGCGTCCGCGTTTAGTTCATAGATCTTCTCGAAAGAGTGCTGGTTCTCCTCCAGCACAGTCGTCCATGCTTGGCCGCCGCACACGTTCATGTTCGAGCGCATCACCACCTTCTTGCCATCCGGCAGCAATACACCGACCACAACACTGCCATCCTCAAGGCAAAGACCGTCGGCCTCGTCCGAAGTGACGTTGTATACGACGCAGTTGGGCGCCGTGATCGAGCGCGCAGTCACGTTGATCAGGATCGAGCCCGTCACGTTCACCTCCTTTGCATACACGCCACTGAGCACACTGCGCTTGATAGCACCACCCTCGATCTCGCTGTTCAGCACCGTGGCCTCGTTGATGACTGCGCCTTCGCCAACGCTGCTGTGCTCCATGCGATTGTCAATGCCCAGGAACGAGCGCAGGCAGTCCGCTTCCACGCCCGGCTTCGTCACGAGACGGTTGTTCTTCAGATACAGCGTCAGCTGACCGTAATCCCACCAGTACACATCGCTGCCCACGTCCACACAGCCAAACAGCCCAAGCTCTCTCGTCCGCGTGCTCTCGAACGTGGCCAACATCGCCCGCATGCGCTGGTAGTGCGCCCTCGACTCTGCCTTGTCGACTCCTTTCTGCGCCATCACCTCCATGTACGCCTCCAGCTCGAGCGTTAGTGGCATCCAAAAGTGCGGGTCGCTGTCGAGCTTGCCCCGTTTGGCGGCCAACTCGGGCGAAAACTCGCTCAGCAACGCGCTCAGCATGTCGGCGTCCACGCTGAAGGAGCCGAGACTCGTGCCCACGGACTTGAGCTCGCCAAACGACGCGAGCAGCCGACTCGCGGTCTCGTGCGACACTTTGTCGACCTGCGCGGCGCTGTCCTTTTGGTTCACCGCGATCAGTCCGTACTTGTCCAGCCCCTTGGCCTTCCACTCTGCGGCCGACGGCAGTGGCGCAAGGGCCGCGAGGATGTCAATGTGGTGTTTCGCCTCGTACTGGACGGCAGCCGACGGGATGAACACCTGGTCGCCCCAGAAGACCGACAGGCGGCCGCGACGGCTGCGCGCGTACACGCCCGTCTGCTTGACGACCGCCTCGAGGATCGTCATGGGCACGTGCTGGTTGTGGACCGTGACCATGGCCGGGAGCTTGACGCCCGACTTGTTGTTGTTCTCGCTGCCCGGGAGCGGCGCGAGGCGCGTGCCTTTGCCCGCCGTGTGGTACAGCGCGACGCTGATGCGACCGGCAGCGAGCAGCGCGGGGATATCGATGCCGTAGAGCTCGCGGCCGGCGGCCACTGCTTTCGTGTAGGCGTAGAGCGTCCCGAGGCCGTTGCCCGCCCCGCCGGTCCAGTCTTCAAACACGGCGATGACCTTTGCATCGGGGGGCGAGATGGACCCGCGCGTGGCCAGGAGTCGGTCCTGCCAGTACTGCGCCTGGTGCGGCGTCGACGTGCAGACGATGACGACGTCGTAGCCGTTGAGGCGATTGATGGCGTCGATGTTGCGCGCGTGGGCCCCGCGAGTCACTGAAGTAGTAGTAGCAGCAGCAACAGCAGCAGGAGAAGAGAGCGGCGGCGACTGCGAGCGAAAGTGCACGTGGGAGGCATAGGCCGCAGCGGCAGACGCGGCCAGCGAGAGCACGACGGGGATGTAGGTCTTGACCATTGCAGCTGTGGACGGCGTTCGGGCGGGAGGGGACGGGTCGATTCGGTGATAAGGGGGCAGAGGAAGTGGGTGCGGGGGCGATACGGAGGAGACCCAGTGGCGCGACAGACGCGGAGGTAAAGTCGAAGTGAGAGAGAGCGACGGCAGCGCTCGGGCAGACGGGCGTGACACCGTTCGTGGCCACGGGGAGAGAGACGGGGCAGTGACGACCCGTCTGTCTGCCGTGCGCACAACGTCGCGAGCGAGGGCTGACTCTGTGTGCAGAGAGTCGGTTCGACCTGTGAAAAGCCATGAAGGCTGCGAGACGTGGCTGGTACAACAACTGCTATGCGAGCAGACAGGTTTGTACCAGGTAGTTTTTCCAGGTCAGGGAACTCGCATCGGTCGGTCTCAGCGCCTTCGAAGCCAAGTTTCGATACAAACGATGGAAGAAAAGCGTTGAGAGTGCGTGAGGCGATCGTCTGGCGTCGCTCTGTACTATCTGGTCGAGACGGCCCAACAACGTTCACGGAATGGCCACGTAGATGCATGCAAATGGTCCGATTTGGCTACAATGCTTTGACCGTGCATTGCTGCCTCTCGCTGCAAATTGCTTTGGTCAGCAGCCGATGAGAGTCTGCTACCGCCTGTCGAGCTGCTCGACAAGCTGCGAATGCAATGGCTGCCTCGTTGTTGGCGTGTCAAGTCGGTCGTTCAAGACGAGCGACTGCTGATCTGTCGAGTCGCGTTCAGCCTATCGCCGCTAAAAAACCGCGTGTCTCAACATTGAGAAGCGGCACGAGACGACGTGGCATGTGAGCGCTGAAAGGTGCTGCCACGTCGAAAGGCTGCGAGAGCAATCGAAACCAACTCGTCGCGCGATGGCGGTCCGATACACAACGGCTGGCAGCAGTTCCTGCGTTTGTTGGTATCCTGAAGCTGGAACAGGTGCTCGTCCGACTAAACATCCTGCGTGGCAATCGACACAGACGGTCAGTCAGAGTCGAGTCGTCCGTAGAATCCGTCACGACGATGGAAAACATACAGTCAGATGGTGATGTCGAAGGAGTGTGATGAGCTGATGCGTCATCAGCTAGTACTCGATCAATCACTTGACGACTGGATATCCGCTTCTTCGGTAACTGGTGACTATCGACGGACTTGGGTTCAGTCCGCACCATCATAAATCACGCAGGCAGATGCACCTTTTGTCGAAACAAAGTTGCTCGTAGGCGCTTACGTCGCGCAACCTTCCGACAACCTCCGTCCCGATCTTCGCACAAGCCATCGAAACCCATGCGCGACTTCCTTCGTCGCTCAGTGGCACTGCTGCTGCTGCTGTGCCTCTGCTTCCTGTCGAGCTCCGGTGCATCGCGCTATCGGTTCACGCTGACTTCTCGCACTGAGGTTCGTTCTTCTCTGCCTCTCGCTGTTTGTACCGTAGCTCGATCTATAACTCATCGGTCGTCATCGTCATGTCTTTGCTTCAACGTAGGAATGTGTGTTGGAGGAAGTGGACGCCCGTGCGTCCGACAATATGGTTCTCGTTCGCTTTGCGATACTGGAAGCCAAACGCTACGATCTGGTGGACGTTGTGGTATGCGCTACTGGTATCGACTTGAGATATGATCGCTTGCTCTGCCAACAAACGTGCTCATAGTGCTGTACTCATGTGGACGCCAAACAGGTGAAAAGCCCCACGCAGCGTGAGATATTCCGTTGGAAAGCTAAACAGGCCGACTTCGGCTCGGCGGCCGTGCGCGAAAACGGGCTGTACCACTTGTGTTTCCGCAAACTCAAAGGCGCGTCATCGACACTCACGCTCTTCTACTCGTTCGACTTCATCTCGACTGGCGTGCGAAGCTTGGCGTTGACATCCACTGTCGCGGCAACAGTAAGCTCAGTAGGCCCTCAGGTGCCGATGTACACGCACATGGAGGTGACGACAGTGAACGGCCACGCTACGAAGATGGGAGTCATGGAGTTCGACCTGTCTGACGTCTCGCACAGTATCATGCATAGCAATACTCATGTGAAACTGCTGCTGACAGTAGACGACGTCGGTAATCGCAGGACGGTGGATATTGCATTGACACTACTGCCCAGCCGGTTACGATACCCCGTCACGTGGGAAAGTCTGGAAAGTCACGTGACCGATGGCTCCGCCAGCCACGTGCTTGGTTACGATGTGACGGGTTTTAGTAACCATGTCGCATTTGACATCACTGAGACGTTTGAAGCCATCCTGAATGAAAAGGCGGAGACGGTCGCTTTCTCGATTCATGCGAATGAGAATGGCGGTGCCGTTGTGATCGGTATTACCGACCGTGACGACGCGGACCACTTTCCTCAGATCGTTGTCGAAGGTACGCTTTTGCTTTGTACGTCATGTGAAAACGGCTGTCTCTGATATCATATGAACGAACAGACGTGGGACTGGACCTTATGCAAGAATTGGCATACTTTCAGTCATCTGTCTTTGCCCTCCGTGGTGACATTTCGCTAGTCAGACACCGAGAACGACTAAGTCGTGATGGTATGCAGGTTATTGGCAAATCAAGTTTGCGCGACGCCGTGTGTGTGATCCTGACCTGTACTCTTGTTTCGTGCTGTTCTCAGCTGCGGAAAGCGCAAATTCGCGCGTGAAGTGGATGTCTCTGATCACAAACGTCGTGCTCGTAGGCATTGCGTTCGGCCAGGTGATCTACATTCGCAGCATACTCAAAGGCAGGTTCTGAAGTGCTGTGCAGCAAGCGTAACATCATGTTATACAATGCACACTGCAATCTGCTGAAGTACAGTAAGCTACGACGATTGCGCAATGTATTGCCACCTTTGCAGTGTGTCGTTCGGGAAGTAAATGACACAGCTATCGTACAAACAAGAGAAACCTGTCCGCGCAATCACGATCGCAGAAATCGTATCGGCTGCCGACCTGGCACTTACAACTCCACATCGCAATCAAGCCCCCAGCACGCCAGAGCCTCTTCCGTCGTCTCGCGTTCCTTCAGCAACGAAAACTTGATGCCATCATCAGTTGGTGAGTAGGCAAAGCAGGACGACATCTGCCGACTGTTGTATCTCGAGTACATGGACATCGTGTAGCCTCCAGTGTCGTGAATCACCACGTAGTCTCCGACTTCAATGGGTGGCAACAGCAACTGCTTGGCAAGGAAGTCACCGGAGAAGCAAAGTGGGCCGGCGATGTCTTGACGCAAGTATGCACTGCTAGGATCCGTCTTGACACGCCCTTGGCTATCCAGAACAGAGATGCAGTGGGACCACTGCTCTGGCAGAAATGCTGTGCGCGGAAATTGGTCTGCGCCAACGTGGACCACAACAATATGCTGACCTGCCCAGTCCTTCACTGCCTCGACCTTAGACACCGTAATGCCAGGCTTCACGAAAACACTGCGTCCGAATTCGGTAATGATGTACGCAAACCCGCTCGTGAACAGCTCAGGCACTTGTTGCCGCACTACGGTCGCGTACTCTTCGAAATCAAATGCTTCCCGCTCTCCGCCGTCGTACACTGTAGGCATGCCACCACCAATGTCGAGCACGCGCACCTGTTGGTACCCAACATGATCGTTCACTTCCAGTGCAAAAGTCACCGCTTTTTTCGCTCCAAGCGACAACAAGTCCAGAGGACAGCCCTGCGAGCCAACGTGCACGTGAACGCCTTGTAGCCACGAGTTCTGCTTGAACATTACCAGCAGACGAGGCTTGGTCTCTGCCGTCAGCGGAAGTCCGAACTTGCTCGCAATAGTGGCCGTGCTGGTAGCGTCAATCGATCCGCCGCCCACCACGGGATTAATGCGCAGTCCGATCTGCATTGCATGATTCTCCCTGATCTTATCCCTGCAGAGCCTCATCTCGGCAAATATCTCATTCATCTTTCGGATCTCCTCTTCATTGTCCAGATTAATGTACACGCCAGCCAGCAGCATCTCACGCAGCTCACTTCGCGTCTTGCAAGGCGAGTCGAACACCACTTTGCGAGGTTCAAAGCCAAGCGACAGCGCATGCTTTGCTTCGGCGATCGAAGCGCACTCTGCACCGAGCCCCTTCGCCCGTGCACTTCGTAACACGCCGCGCATCGGGTTCGCCTTGACGGCCAGTGCATGATTAACCTCTGGCTCAGGGAAGGCGTCGCGCAGGTTGGCGAGCCGCGAGTGGAACGCTGTCCAATTGAAGAGATTGACGAGCGGATTGTCGTCGCACAGCAGTTCCTGGCTTACGGCAGCCTCTACGACGCGAGTCACAGCCGCAGAGCGTTGCTGATAGTGCGTGTAGGCAAGAGCTGCGTCGTCTTGGAGCTGCTGCTCGAGCCCAGGCGCCACGTAAGCGCTCGACGACTGCTGGGCCTGCAGCTTCTGCAGCAAGAGCACAGCTTCTTGGACCGACACCTGAGACGACGACGAGCTGTTCGCGCCCGTGTGATTGTTGTCCCTGCACAGCTGCTGCAGTATCTGGTCGACACTCCGAGTCTCTGCTCCCGGCGCATCCGCGTTCGAGTCCAACATGGCGCAAAGCCGTCTGTCATTCGCGTGCACCACACCCATCCGCTGCCAGTCGAACGTGACTGGGGGAATGTTACGTGCACCACACCACGTGCAAGTCGCACGATGCGCTGCACTGAGCGAGTAGAGGCGGAGCAGGAGCAGCTGGGAATGCTTTTCCCTGCAGTGTGGTCCTTTGTCTCGCGCGCATTCCTCGGGCCGGCGACGGCGACGACTCTCGACCCCACGCAGCCGCACCCGTAGCAGCCCACGCGTTCCTCGCACGAGCAGACGCTCTTCATGGCCCGCACGGAGGACGTGTTGCAAACGGTCCGTCTCGTCATCGTCGCGACGGCGGCCGTTGTTTCGTCGGTCGTGGCCGTGCTGCTCTTCCGACGGATCCCCGACCCGAGAGCCGGTACCGACCACCGCCGACGGCGTCTCCGGACCAACCGACCGCCGCTGCCGCCTCCCCATGCGACAGGTCCCGCTCTCTACTTTGCAGTCATAATGACGGACTGGCTCTTCTCCGTGACCGCGGCCGTGAGTCAGTCGATGGATATGGTCATGGGCGCCGGTGTGAAGCTCCGGACGGTCGTAGGCGCCACTGTCGATGCCCTCTATCACGTGAGTTTCCTCGTGATGCTGCTCTGGGGTGTCGTGCTGGCGCTCTTTGTCGTACGGACACAGTACTGGACGCATACATTTGATGCCACGAGTCGGCCGTACAAGAGGTTCTCGGTCCGCTGGAGCTGGATCTCAATCTGGACCATTGGCCTCGGCTGCGGTCTACTATCGACGGCGCGACTCCAAGCGAACATCACAGACAGCGACGTCACAAATAAGCTGGCCAATTGTCAGCGCTACTTGTTCCTCTCGGTTTATGGCGTGTCGGTAGGCTGTATCGTTGTGGCCAATGTTGTCTTGTACGTACAGAAGAATCGTTTGAGCTGTAGGGAGCTCGCTTTAGACCCAGCTACGATTACGACAGAGCAGTCGCTCAGCAGCGGCTCGGCTTTGACGTCAACGAAGACTTGGGAGATGGAAGCACAACAGGCTCTTCGAAGAGCTCACGAAAAGTTGATGCACTACTTCTTGGTAGTGCAAGTGCTGCAGTTCCCGATAATGCTGTGTTATGTTCTTGGCAAAGGTGTGATGAGCTACGCAACGTATGAGGTGGCGAAGTGTATTTTGTTTTGTGTGCCGTTGGGTGATGCCATAATTTTTGGCTTGAAGCATCTGGGAGAATCTCAGTTTCCCCACGATGAAGACGAGCTACGTGACAACCAGACTGTGCTGCAGTCCACTAGCTACAGTTCAAGACACGCAGAACGCCATCGAAATGTCGTTGGCGCAGGTCCATTTGCTGCTAGCGGCAGCACTGGCGTTGCGAACGCGTTAGCTGTGTCTTACCGTGCCGTGTTTGGAAGCAGTGCTGCCAGCGTTGATGCTGGAAAAGAAGTGGTCAAGAGCACGCATGTGGTGAACGAGGCAGTGACGCTAGAAGAGTTGAATGGCTTATCCAATGTATCTTTCATCGCAGAAGGAGCAGCTGGCAGCGTTTACAAGGCACATTGGCTGGGAATCGAAGTAGCAATGAAAGTCATTAAGCTCCCGGAAGCAGGAGCAGTAGGCTTGGTCGATGCGGAGCTTTACCGCACAATTATCCAGAACTCAGAGGAAGCGTTCATCGAAGAGGCCAAGCTATGCTCTCGACTGCGTCATCCAAACATTACGTTGTTTATACGAGTCGGATACTTTGAAGGCAAATTGGGTATTCTGACGGAGTATTGCTCAAGAGGAAGTTTGAAAGATGTACTCAAGTGTCACTTTCCACTCGGTTGGCGGCGCAAGGTGGCGCTAGCTCTCCACATTTCAAAGGGTTTGACGTACTTGCATGCGTGCAACCCGACGTACATTCACCGCGATCTCAAGGCATCTAATATTCTGGTCACCGAGACGTGGCAGGCCAAGCTGGCAGATTTCGGCATTTCGAAGGTGTCGAATTTCGTCAACCGCGTGCGGTACAGCGAGCGCACTGTCGCGAGAGCAGAGCAGAATACGAGTCTGTCAGATGAAGTCACTTCATTTGCCGGCACATGGCGCTGGAATGCCCCGGAAATATTGCAGGATCCGCACAATTGTCGGTACAGTCGCGCGACGGACATGTATTCTTTCGGCATGGTGCTGTGGGAAATTGCCACCAACGGTGCTGTTCCCTTTAGCGACAACAAGTTTGATTTTGAGGTCCGCGAGAAGGTACTCGCGGGACAACGTCCGCCGATCAATGCTGGACAATGCTGCCCACAGCGTTTTGCGCAACTGATCGAGGAATGCTGGGCGCAAGACCCAACTGACCGTCCATCAGCACCCCTTACTGCCGAGATTCTCAACTCCATTTTGAGCAGTATGTCGAAAGACTCGAACGAGTTTGCTACAATGGCATCAGTATCAGCGTCCGACTACACGAACAGCATTTTTTCGTCTCTACGACACGGTGACGGCACGTCCGATCTGGATTACCGTCCTAGCTCTCTCGTGGGACAGCGCATCACGAACTTTTTTCGCGGCCGTTTCTCTGCTCTCAGTAGCGCTGGCAGTGCGACGAGCGAAGAGTACCACGATCACCAGAGCACTGAGCAGTTTTACAAGTTCATGTCTCCCTATGCCGGAACAGACAGCATCAGTATGTTGAGCGCTCGAGGCAGTGCCGCAATGGAGGCAAGCCCAGCAAATGCTGAGTCATCGGGTCTCCCCATAGTGGGCCTTCCGAACGATAGCCGACGTGGCGATGGTTTCATCGGAGGACGACTTTCGTCCTTGGACGAGTACGACATTGAGACGATCGGTATCATGTCCGACGTGACCGTTGGAGTGGGAACGACGCACGGCAAAAAAGTGCCAGACGAAGGTCTTTTCATGTTGCCGCTCTCCCGCCCGGGTGATCGCGTGAGCCGTGGACGTGTAGGAGTCAGACAAAGTGACGACCGCCAACCGATGGAGGACGGCGCTGAGTTTGCGCTCGATGCGAATGGCCGGATAAGCCACTTCCAGTACTGAACGATATTGGACGTTTCGCAGCGACCTCGCGGCAGTATTTATTAAGCGTGATGAGAAGATGGTAGTGTTTTGCTGTATAAATTGTTTGATATATGAGTTGCAGACATCACACATGATGAGAGGTACTTTGTAACCTCCAACGAGAACGTTGAGCTTCTGCAATTGGACAGGCGCTATACGTCGGTACCTCGCGTCGGTGTGGCACTGAACAGATTTCTCCGCGCGTCGTAAAGACGACACGCACAGCGAAAGACTTACATTCGAGTTGTCGCATTGCACTGAGGCACAATTCGATATGCGGAGAGCATCAGTTATTTAGTCTTAGGTGGTCTCATGGAGGCCGCTTGTTCAGCGGATTCGTCAGAAACGAGGAATTCACTCGGGATAGACCACTGTCCATCCTGCATGAATAACATCACACGCTGCTCCTTTTTCGTGCATCCTAATCTCCAGTAGTGCTGCGTGTCTATCTTCTTGAGGCAAATTCAAGAGTAAGTGTCCAGAGAACGACGTCCGATTTGGTTGAGCAGTACAGTCCACTCATCCCAAATCCTCGACGAACACATACCCTCTTCAAAACATGATGCACACTACCTTCGATAACCTGTCTAAACAAATACCTGCCCGTCTGATTCCACGACGGACCTGCTCAGATGCGACGCAATGCTCGATCTATCGTTGCGACTGTGACGGCCCTTACACCACTCACAGCTTTGGCTGTGGGGGAAGCAGCCAGGCAATACGATGAAGGCAACAAAGTGATATACGCAAAGCATCAACTAATGAATTCGATACGGAGCTCTGAGCGGAAGAAAGTCACGATCAGTGAGACGTCCGAGTCGAATGGTGTCAAGGCGTCGACGTGGCTGGGCGATGCGCCGCCCAGTTTCCCGTACTTACTCTCCATATCCGCGGGTGATGACCCGGAGGTGGTGCTGGACGCGTACGTGGTTTGCGTGGAGTGCGGTGAGGTGTTGACCGGCTGTCTTATTGCCAATGTGCCTTCCAGACTCTTTGAAGGTGTAAAGGTGCTTGGGACGTACGAAGAGCGAACGTGTGGAACTCTCGCACGACTTACTACACCGACTTCAGCACTCCAACTTCTCATTCGAAAGATCGCAACTCACTATTCGGCGCTGAGGACAGCAATGAATGGATCTATTCCAATGGATTTTGGCTCTAGCGTTGGCGTGAATGGTGTAGCCGATGATGTCACAATGGATGCAGTGTTACGTGCAATGCGAGATCTGCAGTGCAGTGAGATACATGACGAGGAGAGAGGGCAGGCGAAAAGCAGCCGCGCCGTTCCGGCGATTTTGATCCGAGACTTTGATGCGTTCAGTGACCTGGAAACTGAGAGATGGCTTCGGTGGACACATCAAGTCTCGAGCGAGAGATTGGCTCATGTTGTGCTCTTGACTTCTGCAACTGTGACACCATCCAAGGCGCAGTGGCTACAGTTGCGACATAAAAACGGACTACATTCTGATTCAGGTGGTGCCCAAGATTTTGTTGGTATACTGCTTCGTCCTGCAAATAGTCTAGTGGATGTCACCTCGGCAGATGATAAGCTTGGCAAAGCAGCGGTACGTGATATGCGTGGTGTTTGCAAGCATCCGTTCAAAGCTTACTGCTCGTGCGTGATTGTAGGAATCACACGGTCTTAGGCTGCTCTCTGACTCGGCAAGCGCGCCACCACACAACGAACTTGCAGGTGGTCGAAGCTGTGCAGTTTCAAAAGAGAGTAACAAGTATTTGGGTGAAGCTGAGGTAATTTTGACGACAACAGGGAATTGGTGGAGCGATATTAGCGAAGTTTGTAGGCGCCTAAAAGGGAAAAGGTTGAACGACGTGGCGCATCCTGATGCGAGGCTCGCAGTGATCCACGAAGTGTGCAATGAGTTCGTGGGTGAAATAGAGACTGGAGTACTGGAAGCATTGCATCTGGATGGAAGCCTTCAGCTTTCTAGTACATTGCGCTTAAACAGCACTGATGAGTCGGCGTTATTAGCAGATGCTGTTGGTCAAGACATCAAATTTGCCGACACAGGCAAAGTTCTCAGCGCATTGGGAGCTTGGAAATGCTTTGAGGCACTGACTGGTGTAACGCCGGTAACTGGTGGTAGCTCTTTTGTTCGTTCGCCTCAGCAGCGTCTTGAGCGAAAAAGCAAGACGCCTGTCAATTGTGTGAGCGCAGTCGATGCCCTGCTCCCGTTCAATTACCGCGAAGCGGTTGAAGACAAGTTTCTGGATCTGATTGATCGACAGCTACTGTTCCTGCGACCAAAGGTAGGTCAGACTGTCTCTGTTTCTTGGCCATTTAGTAACCTTGTTGCCGCGTCTGGTGTAGAATGCCGTTGAGATTGGAGTCATTCCGTGTCAAAACGCTGCTTTGGTCGCTCCTTGCTGGATTCAGACCCGCCCTGTCGTCAAAAAGACCTTTGAGAAGATACATGTTAGTTGTGCTGTCTTGCTATCTGTCATTTTCGTTCCATACTTATCGCTCTGTGCTGTCATTTGTCATCTTGTTGTAGAGGAGCGACACGTTCTATAGCGTCATATTGGATCTTGATCGGTATGCTGCCAGCGTCGAGGTAAACATGCGTTTGGTCAAACGAAAAGCGCTGTGATGGTAACAATGTTCCTTTTCTTTCTCGTAGATGCAAACCGAGATTGAGCAGTACGAACGCGAGATTGCTGAGCGGCGCAAGGTGTTCTCTCAGAGAGAGCAAGACTTTGCAGCTTTACGGTTTTCAATGACTCCAGCGGAAAAAGCACAGCACGAGGCTGAGGTATGTCCAATGAATCGTTGAGGTGTTTATATGGCTCAGAAGTATTGTCGTAACTTTTTCAAGCTGTGCTGGTGGTATCTCTTGCGAAATAGCTTGCGCTGATAGACGTGGAGCTCCAGGCAAAGGATGTGTATCTGGAAAAACTTCGGTCGTTGTTAACATTGTGAAGACGTATAAAGCGCCCCTGAGTCACATCATACGTCAAAAACATCAGCGCCGCGTGCGGGAGCCGTCTCAAAAATGGCATTGGATGCGTCAGCTGGTGCTACACCGCGCTTGCTGTAGTAGATGGACCGTATGTCGTTGATAAATTTGGACGCGCTTGCTTTATAGACGAGCGCGACAATACAGCCTCCCCATCCAGCCCCAGTCAAGCGGGCTCCCAGAGCACCAACAGCTAAAGCAGCATCAACCAGGGCGTCGAGTTCCGGGCAACTGCACTCGTACAAATCCCGACAGCTAAAGTGGCTCGCAGTCATGACGTTTCCAAGACTTTTCAATTGTGCCCGGACGTCTGACGTCCCTGCTCCGTCTTGATTTGACGATGGAGTCGTTTTCTCATTCGTCAAGGAAGCACATATCGCTCGGAATTGCTGGACACGTTCAGCCTCACCCCACACATGCATTGCTCTCTGCTGCAGCTTGAATGACGCCGCCGAAGCTATAACATTCTGTGGCATACTTCTATCAGCGCTTCGGTCCAACATCAACGACAAAGTGCGTACGAACATTGGCTGTAGACTCCAGCTTGGAACCGGCAAACAGATCCACGATCGGCTCGCCAAACTCTTTTTCCAGATCCGAAATTGAGCATTCGGTGAGCGGACAGACAGCCGATGCCAGCTTTTGCAGTGCGTCAAAGTGCGCAGGTTGTGCAGTATCGCCAAGCGCAGTTTGGACATCCACGAGACGCGTTATCTGAGCACAAAGACACACACACTTTGTATGGTAAGTGGTGTACAAAAGTACCGACGTCAGGGACGCCAGACAAGTGCCACACTCGTACCGTTCTCCACGTGTCGATGTCTGTCTTTTTCGCGATCAATTTGGCAGCCAGAGCGCACTCAATCACACGCTTGTTGTAGCGAGTGGCCGCATCCACAGCTTTCTCTGCGACGACCAGCGAGTTCGCAACCACAAACGTCACCCCATCAGCAGCAGCAGTAGTCGGGACCCGGACCAATTGACTTGTGGCCGAGCCAGTCGAGAACTCGAGATACAGAGCCACTCCCTCCTGCGCAAGACACACGGCCGTCTGGTCCATCCCTCCCCCCATTGTCCCCACGTGCTGTTCTGCTCGTCGACACAGCTCCGCCAGCTCCAATCGACTCGGCACCTCCTGTCCTGACCGTCGCCGGAGGGAACTCACTGTAGCGAGCGCACCTGCAACGACCAACGCACTGGAACTGGACAGACCGTAGCCAGCAGGCACGTCTCCGTCCACTGCCATGTGAAGCTTTGTCTTGTCGCCAGTGCTAAACAGCTCCGGGTAAGCGCTCTGGACGCCTTGAACGCCGCACAGCACGTACTTGGCCCAGCCAGCCCCGTCCTGGTCCAGTTTGCGCATGCACTCGTGCGTTGCCTCCCGCACCGACAGCTGTGCGTCTTTGTATCGTGGCTGCGCATTGGTCACACGCAACAGCGTCCCACCGGTAGGTACTCCGCCCTGTTTAACGGCGCTGAAGGCCACGTAGACGCTCTGCTCGATCGCCATGGGCAGCACCGCGTAGCCCTCGTAGTCCACGTGCTCTCCAATGAGGTTCACGCGGCCAGGAACGCGTACGACGCCCGCAGGAGGCACACCAAAGCGGCTCTCGAACGTCTCCATCACGCGCAGTAGACGCTGCCGGAGTCGCTCATCGTGCGGTAACGGCAGTGCGCAAAACGACGCCATGGTTGAAGTGACCATCACTCTCCTCGGATCTCGGTTGACCTTTGCTCGGATATTGTCCGACCTGTCTTGCGTTTCTATTTCAGCCAATGGAATGCAACACAGGTCGGACTATTACAAACACTCGGCAGTGCTCCCGTCGCAGCATGACGTTGGCGTCACAGCTGCGGAAGCCTCGCGTGCTGGTGGTCGGCGGCGGCCCTGTGGGTCTGGCTACGGCCTATATGCTCGAGAAGCTCTACGACATCCCCACACGCGTCGTCGAGCGACAACGGCGTCCCACTTCGCACCCACAAGCGCATTTCCTCAACCTCCGTACCATGGAGGTGCTCTACGCGACAATGCCCGCGTTCCACGACCGCTTACTTGCCCACGCAGCGCCAAGCGAATTGGTATGGCACGTTGAATGCATCACGTGACTGTGTGTCTCCATGTACTCATCCGCCTATTGGACGTATGGACTGCTAGTGGCGCGACTACGTGTACTGCACCGGAATGGGCAAAGCTCGTGAGATTGCGCGCATCGACCAGTTTGGTCCCTGTAAGTGCGTCTGCTGCTGCATCAGTTGATAGCGTCAGATCTGATGTATAGCTGGTACTGAGATCTCGTGTGTATATGCTATTGCTGTATAGGCCTCCCACGTGGCCCCGTGAAGAAAGCGCTAGCTGCTGGTGAGAGGCTGCGCGAGTCGCTGGACGCGCTGTCCCCGACGCAGTTTGTGCATTTCCCACAAAACCGCTTTGAAGCTCTGTTGGACACGTTTTTGGCCGAGAACGACGTGCAGATTGAGCGTGGCATTGCGCTCGAGGATCTAAAGTTGCCGCCGGACGGCTCCGCGGCACAGCAAACTCAAGTGACTCTTCGTCGTCTGTAAGTTCGTAGTCGAACGCACTGAACGTTTTGATGCTACAACGACTAATGACTGACTGGAGCCCCTGTGTCCGGTGTGACAGGGATACCGATATACTCGAAGAAGCGTCGTATGACTTTGTTATCGGAGCAGATGGGGCTCACAGCCTCGTGCGCCAGCTCTGTGGAATCGACATGGTTGGCACATCGAACCTGCAAAGTATCGCCAATGTGCACTTCACGAGCAAGGCGTTATCGAAAGCAGCGCGCGAAAATCCGGCCATGTTGTACTTCGTGGTACGAAATAATGACGATGCGAGCTGTTGCTTCTCGAAAGTTACTAATGTCAGTAGTGCTTGTATCTGATGTGCCTGATAGTTTAACAAAAAAGTCGTAGGAATCCTCATTGCTCATGACCTCAACAAAGGCGAATGGGTCTTCCAGATACCCTTCTTTCCACCCCAAGAGTCCGTCCCCTGGGACTTTTCAGTTGCTCAATGCAAGGAAATCATCCGCCTTATATTGCCCAAGGATGTCAAAGTCAGCGATGATGACATCAATGTTTTATCAGCTGGACAGTGGCGAATGGGAGCTCGAGTGGCAAAGCAGTACGATGCTGGCAAACAGCGGGTCTTTCTCGTAGGTGATGCAGCGCACCAGTTCCCACCAGCAGGTGGCTTCGGCATGAACACCGGACTGCAGGATGCGCACAATTTGGTATGGAAACTGGCGCTCGCAATCCAGACGGACCCGGAGTACCCTTCGGCCGACGGTGTTGACACTCAAGCGCTGTTGCAATCGTACGGCCGCGAGCGTCAACCGATTGCTAGAATAAACACGCAAGTCAGTCTAAGCAATGTGGCTCGAATCATGAAGATTCCACAAGCTCTTCACGTATCCCACGACCACGCCCAGATGCTGGCAAAGATTATGAACTCTGCGCCGATGCAGCTTTTACCGCTGCGTGCTCAGCGCGAATTAACAAAGCGGATCATGCGTGTTGGTAAGATGCCACTTGGGCTTTTGGACGATGCTGAGAAGGTAGACGGGCCGGGAAGTGCATTGGGCAGTCGCATGCGCAGCAGTGTGCAAGATATCGTGACACATCGGAAGTCACTTGGCATGCTCTTTTACCACTTTGATGTAGGTTTTTCCTATGACGCACCTTCGTGGGCGGCGCGTGCGAAGAAGCTGATGGAAGATCCAGCGCTCGACCAATCTGCGGAGTTCCGGATCGATAGCGGCACTGATGATGACATCATTTATAGTCCGACCTTTCGCGTCGGTGAGAGATTTCCCCACTTCTGGTGCACTTACAATGGCGCCAGGGTTTCCACTCATGACATGACAAGGCTAGCTATGCAAGACGCAAAATTTGACAAGGAGGACACTAGCAGCGTGCAGTTTGTCCTCGTCTTCGGTGGACGTCATGCTGCACAAATTACCCGTTTATGCTCGTCTTCCACTCTGCATGCGATGGCAAAACACGTTTCTCTCGTTGTTTTGCGTTCCAGTGCTGACCGCAATAGTGCACAAGTTGATGCTGCCATTGCGGACGCTCAAACGTCATCAGCGTTCAGCTCTGTGTTTTCGTGCCCGGTGGTCCAAGAAGAAAGCGACAAAATATGGGCGAGGTTCCTGGACAGCAACATTGCCGCTCTTATGCGTCCAGACGGCCACGTTGGTGCGCTGTGGAAAGCTGGAGGACCCGATGCCATTACTGACACACTGCTCATGCAGTCGATGCAGCAGGCCGTTCAGCTCAACTAAGCATCATCCATACACATTTAGAGCATGAAGCAGAACCGTGAAGACATCACCGTTGTCAAGATACCAAAGACGTAGCTGTAAACATGTTGACTTCGATAGTCGTCTGACATTGTTGCGGTCCACCTCTCGTTAACTCTTCGATCTCAATGATGAGACCTGCCACAAGCACACAGGCCTCGCATTTGCCGTCGGAAATTACGAGGCGAACGCTACGACCACAAACCCTACCGATGCTGTAAAGCACCATGGAATGGCTAAAGCTCGCTACAGCACGCGCTTGATCTCGCTGTACATCTCGGCCTCAATGACGATGTAGCTCCAACGCAAGAGCAGTGCCAACATCATGCCGCTTAGATGGCAGATACGAGGAGCCGTGGTCTCGTGACGCCAACGCTGATGGGTCGAGTGCATAATGGGCGCGTTGCTGACAACCGATAGAGCCATGGCCACCTAGGCGTTGGATCCAACCGTTGTACAACAGCAAGTTCAGGTACAGCAGCGAGAGCCCCATGCTCCATCCCCTTCGACTACAAGATCGGTGTCAACCCCTGCATCTCTGATTCGTCAAAGTCGAGTCCGCGTGTGTAGCATCGTATTGACACTTACCCCACGGATCGTCGAGTCAGTCACGACCGTTCTCGAACACTGTCGAGTCGGTCAGCGCAGTCTCACGATCCGTCAAGAGTCAATGAAACCTCTTGTCGAATCTCTTCGGTCACAGTCCGAAACTCGACAGTGCCATGTCACCATCAAGTCGCGCTGTCGACGGGGCAGCTACTGAGGCCGCTGAGATTCAGCAACAGCTGTCTCCCCAACCCTATCGCGCCCGCTCTCGACATCCACAGCGTCAGCAACAGCAACAGCGTCAGCAACGGCCACAGCACTTGTGACGGCATTCGCCTCCTCTTGTTCACCCTCCGAGTCTTCACCCTCCACTGCGCTGTCCACACGGCTGGCGATCGGCACTGCGGACGGCGAGCTGGCCAGCTGCTGATGGCGGTTGCTGTTCGTGACTTTGTACGGACCTTTGCACATCTTGTCGTAGAGCAGGAGCCCCCACGCGACGATCGAGAGCCCCAGGAAGAGGTAGAACCGCGTCGTGACGATCTCCTTCTCCCGCGCGCCGTCGTAGCACACGCACGAGTTGGAGAAGATGGTCGTCATGCACTCGTTGCGGAACGAGCAGCAGCACGGCTGGAACGTCGACGGCACGTCCCCGCAGAACACGCCCGTCGACTCGTTGTGCACGGCCAACGAGCAGTTCTCTTCGTTGCGGCACAAGGCACAGCCGCGGTCGGCCAGCGGGTAGAAGTCGAGACTGGCGGTCTCCGATCGCTCGCGGCCGTCGCCGTAGCTGTAGCCGAACAGGGCCTGCGACTCGGCCGCTGCGAGACACGCGCGCGCTACGGACGCAAAGAGGACGGGACAGAGGCGCGTGGGGCGGGAGACAGCGACGCGCGACATGACGTGTGCGACGACTAAACTGATGTGTGAGACGCGGCTGGGGTGGCGGTCTGCTTTTTATAAAAAGTCAAACAGCTGGCGCGCGGCCGATAATGTCGGATGAAAGTGATTGTATCTTGCGCTTGTCTTGTCGGACGTGAGGCGACGCAGAAAACAAATGGGTTCGATCATAACTTGTGGACATCGCACATGTCGTCTATTTGGCTGAATACACACAACTGATGGGCCGCCCTCCGTTACGAAATATTAGCAGGCTTGAAAACGTTAAAGCCGTCGCCAGCAGTGCTCACGAGCACGCCCGGGCACTGTGGATGGAAGTGCAGCTCCTTGATGTCAGTCTGGCCCTGATGGATGAACAGCAGCTGCGGCGGTAAGTCCAGCTTCGCCTCGTTATTTTCCCCATCGACAGGCACAACGGCCTCAGCGTCCTCTTCTACGGACATATCCCAGACCGAGATCTGGTTGTCAGCACCGGACACAGCAAGCACCGACTCATCGGTCGGATGCCACTCAATCGACGTGATGGGCGCCGTGTGGTACCGAAAGTGCGCCACCGGGTTGTCAGTCTTGAAGTTACGCAGATCCCAAATCTTGAACGAGCCATCGTCCGAGCCAGATGCCAAGAGGTAAGCGACGTTTCGGTTCCACGTGATCACGTTCACATCGTCTTCGTGCGCGACAACGTCCAGCATGCTTCCGGCCTTCCGCCTGGTGTCCCAAATTCGCACGGTACGGTCGGACGAGCACGACGCGAACACTGACGCCTCGGTCACGCTCCACTGCAGGTCCTCCACTGAGCTTTTGTGGCCTGTGAACGGCACCTTATCGACGCTCCATGCACCCTCTGCGTTGGCCCAGAGATATATAAACTTACTGCAGTCACCCGTCACTAGTCGACCAGTCTCCATAGAAGACCAGTCCATGGCAAAGCCTTCATCAGCGTGGCCAGAGAACGTGTACACGGGCGCTTGCTTTGCTGGCAAAGGAGCACTCGCCTTGCCGTTTAGTGACTCGAGCTGCTTAGCGATATCCCAAATGTGAACCTTCTTGCGGTCTGACCACGTGGCCACAATGTTAGATGACTGCGGCATGCAACGGATACGATTTACACCGCCGATGTGTGGAATGGAGCGAGACTCAAGCACTGGATCTCCTTCCGTCTCGTCGTCGTCATCATTGGAGTCGTCGTCACCATCCGAGTCCAAGTCGTCGTTGTGCTTAGTCTTGTGCAACTCCGACATCTTCATCACTGTGATCTGATTCTCGTCAGCGTCGGTCGCCTGTGTGCCGGCCACGACAAACATCGTCAGAGGGAAGCGGGAGCGCACCAGGCCGAGATCGTCGCGCACAACGTCAATGCTAAGCGAAGGCCACTCGGCCGTCATCGCGTAGTACATGTCGTAGGCGCTACTGTCGTAGTCGAGCACCTCGTCGTCTTGCAGCTTGTCCACGCCAGGCATGAAGACCTTCTTCACTTGCGTGTCCGTCTGCTCGTCCCCGTCCATGTCGACGTCCCTGTCAGCGGACCTCTCTCCATCCACGACCTCCTCCTCTTCGCCACCGCTCTCGACCATCTCCTCGTCCTCCACGTCGTCGCCAAACGGGTCCTCGAACACCAAATTCTCCTCAGCATTTGGCTGTTGCGCCGTGTGACGCTTCAGGTCGCCCGCGAAATCAGCAGCCGCGCGTTTCTTTAGCTCACTCATGACGCAAACGGTGGCACAGGAGAAGCGCAGAGAGCCTCTAAACAAGCAGAACGGCCAGCGTCCGTCGCGAGACAACACGCGCTGAAATGACCGGTCGTGAGCCAATGATGCAGCGGAGCACGTTGCTTGATTGGCTATAATCGACTGGCCCGCACAATGGTGTGGGTTGCCTCCGCATATATACCGGTATATCTATCGATACCGGTTTTCGACACTGATACTCGTTTCGACGGTATAGCGACGATCATGCTGAGGAGCTCTCTGCGGCGGCGTCCGGAGGCGATGCTACCGCGCAGGGCGCTCAGTACACTGCGTGAGCAACACGTTAACGAAACAATGGAGCTGCATTCGTCAGTTCGGTGAGTACGAAAAAAGCGGTCGCTCTCTCAGCGCTTCGTTGGCATAAAAAGACGTGTGGTACTGAAAAGAGTCTGCCCAACAGGACATTGGATTACGACGGATACCTGTGCGGTCTGTTGTTGCCGCGAACGACACGTTCGTCCGTCTTTGCAATAGTATGTGGTCAAGAGACGTCGGTGCTTTGTACTTGGCGACAGTCGTGACACTGACGTGCTCTGATCGTTGTCAATGACGGAGTGTGTAGCGCGCCTTCAATGCCGAGATCGCAACTATCAAAGACGCGGTGCACAGTAACCAAATGACAGGCAAAATCCGCATGCAATGGTGGAGAGAGCGTATCTACAATTTGTACGAAGTCTCAGGCGCGACGGGTGCCAACCGACCCGAGCAGTCGACGCTGTTACTGCGGGAGCTGGACAAGGCCGTGCAGGAGCACGACTTGACGCGGCGATGGTTCGAGCGGATGCTGGATGCGCGAGACCGAGACCTCGATCGTGAAGAGGTACAAGACCTGCATGAGCTCGAAGCATACGCGGAGCAGACGGCCTCGTCTCTGCTGTACCTCACGCTCGAGTGCCTCGGCATTCGCAACGACACGGCTGACCGAGTAGCAGGACACGCGGGTGTGGCCATTAGCTTTGCAACGCTGCTGCGAGGCACGGCATACCACAGTTCACGTCAACAGTCGTACCTCCCTGCGGACCTCATGACCAAGGTACGTGATCGCATGACTTGGCTATGCTTTTTCTATCGAAGCATGACAGTAGCCGTCTGATTGTGTGAGCAGCACGGTGTGACTATGGAGGATCTACTGGCCGCAGTCGAGGATCCCAAATTGGGCGACAAGGTGGCGCCAGTGGTGTTCGATGTTGCTTGTCGTGCGATGGAGCACCTCCATCAAGCTCGGTCGCTGCGGAAGGAGTTGCCCAGCAAGTCGCGCAGGGCGTTCCTGCCTCTAGTGAGCAGTGCAACGTATCTGAAGGAACTGGAGGCATCCAACTTCAACGCTTTTGCTCCGGAGTTGCAAAGCCGCAACATGTTTCAGCTGCACGTGCAAGTGCTAAAACACTTTTTCATGCGCAAGTATTAGACAAAGCGCAATCTGCCTAACCGCTTGTGATCGACGCAGCCACACAATATACGCACGCAAGACCCAGCAGTGCTTCCCTCATTGTCTTCTTCATCCGGTTCTTGCCTAGTTAAGCTGCGTTCCTAATGATATCTAACGCTGCGATCTCTCTCGCCGGAGCGCAAACGGTACACATAAAAGCTCCTGTCGCTGCACATGCAGCCTGTTCGTTCTGTTGGTCCCCCACTGGCTTCAAGGTTCGATGGACAACGCGACGCGCCTCACACCGTCGTCCGGATGCTAATTCCTCTGCTTCTTGGCCGATCCTACTGATTTGTTGCCACTGGTGCCACTGCCGGAGCTTCCCTGGTGGTTTTGCTGCTGCTGGCCACTCACAGACCGCCGCTTAGCGTCTAATGCCGCCAGTTGTCCCTGCAGCTGGTCTTTCTTTAGTTTCACGCGGTTTTCAAACTCAAAGCCGCTCTTGAAGTAGTCCAAACGTGACGGTGCCGAGATGTGCAGCAGCTCCTCCTCAATAGCACAGGCCTGCGATGCAACAGACACATCGGCAGCAACAGAAGCAGATAACAAACCAATGAGACACAGCACACCGACACCAACACCCACACCCACAAACGACAACGTCCAGTGCTCGTCAAAAACCTCACCACTTGCAGCAAATCTTCGTACGTCGAGCAGCGACTCGTGTACGCGTCGCGGATCTTCGACCGCACGGCCTGACGCTCTTCAATCGTCAGGTACATCCGCCAGTCCTGCATCGTAGACGACTGCGAGATGCTGCGCATGGCCGTCACGTTGCTGTTGGCAGCCGACGAGCCGCTACTGCCGCCTCCCGACGGACCGCTGCTGCCGCCCCGAAGCGACGCGTTGCCCGCCGGGCGGTTGTACACCCCCGAGGACGTCACCGCGCGCAGCATCTGCGGCGGGTTCGTGTTGCACGTCGCGTGGAGCACCGACGGGATCGAGTTCATGCTGTTCATGCCCACGCTCAGGTGGCTCGTGAGCCCGCCGGGGTGGCCGTGGCCCACGCTGCCAGCGGCGCCTCCGCTCAGCGTGCGCTTGAGGGACGGAATGGCCTGCGCCGAGCCGCTCCCGGGGTCGTTCTTCATCTGCCCGAGGTTCATGTTACGGGTACTGTTCCATGCAGCGCCCGCCCGGTCGTCTGTCTCTGTCTCTCTGTCGGTCCGTTGTCTATCTCTGTGCGGCGTATTTCCCCCTTTTGTAGCGGGGAACTGAGAACGCCGACGGGAGACCTACCGGTATCTACCGGTTCTGAAACCGCCACTGCTACCAACGGAGCCAATAGAAAACGACGAACAAGTGGACAACGACTCTCTGTCCCACAGCGTCACGTGTCTTCTTTATGCTTAGAGGGGATCGTGCGGCCACACAACTGGCTGCCAAGTGTCGCAAAAGTCATCGAACGCCAGGTCCAGCGATGTCTCCAACGCCTTGATCCGAGGATCCAGCCCCGGCGCTCCCGGAAGTGCATCCACGTCACTCCGTCGCTTCCACGTCCGAGCGAGTTCGCGGGCCTTTGCCGCGTCAAGTTCGTCTTGCAAGTGACTCGCTTGGCTCGAGCGGACAGGGGGAGTCCGGCCCTTCCCTGCACGTGTCTGCTGGTTGAGCTTCTCTTGCTGCTGCTTGATCTGCTTCTGCTTCTTCTTGTTCTTCTTCTTGTTCTCCAGCTTCTTGTTTGTGCTACTGAGTCGTGACGTCAATCGTGCGGACGATCGGAAACGCTCTCGCCACTCGTCACTCAGGACATAGCCAAACTCGTAGTCACCGTCGTCCCCTTCTTCACCTTCTTCTCCTTCTTCCAAGGTCCGATCTGCGCTCTCTTGATCCGCTACACGAGTAGGACACTCTACTGCAGCAGCTGTCGGCCATTGCATCTGACTGCACATGGTCGAAGTTAGCCATCTGCCGCTCTGCTGCCGCTGATCCGCGTAGATCGCCGGCCAGGCTTCTGGAAAAGGGAACGGTGGTGGAATGTAAGAGCTGTCCATGTCACCAATGAACGACGCGAAACCGGTTAGCACCGACTTTTTGGACTACCCGGTAGTCGCTGAATTCGTGACTGGTTGGCAGTGGCGCCACCATACCTCGAGTCGCATGGTGGTCCAGAAGAAGCGCTCTCGCGGGTCTACTGAGGCCCCTGCGCACCTCAAAGATGGCCAGAATGGAGACGATGCGGTCCAACCGATGGTGGACGAGTCAGAGGACGATAGCAGCGAAGACAGTGAGGACGACCTCACGTTTGCGGCGGCTCGAGGCGGTGCACAGGAAGACGACAATGACGACGAGGACATGAACGGTGGAGAGGCTGCAACGACCGCTGGAGGAAACGTGAGCGTCGAGTTTCTCTTCGCCGACCCGCGCGAGTCGCACTTCCACAGCATTAAACAGCTGCTGTTGGCTTACTTACCGCCTTCGCAGCCACTCGACGTCTCCGGGTTAGCCAACTTAGTCGTGGGCCAGGTCACGGTCGGCACTATGGTATGCGTGGAAGGAGAAGACGATGTCTACGGATTCATTACGGCCTTGAACCTGACGCGACATGAGAAAGAAATGAGTATCCAACAGATCGTGCAGTATGTGACCAAGAAGTGCCCGAGTGCGGACCTCTCCAAGCTGCAGCAGATCCTCCGCACGAAAAACGTGGGACTCGTGCTCAATGAGCGTATGGTGAATCTACCGTATCAGCTAGTGCCGGCAGTGCACTTGGCCCTGCACGAAGATGTTGAGTGGGCGGTGAAGAACGAGGATACGCAGGAGCTACGCGACAGTTTCTTGATGGACTACTTTCTCATCCTGTCTACTTGTATGGAGGAAAAAAGTGGCAGTAGTGGCCCCAAGAAAGGCAAGAAGACCAAGACGACGTACGAACAGACCGCCAAATTCTTCCACAACTTTGAGGACGAGTTCCTTCAGCAGGAGGCAGAATTGACGTTCTCATTCGATGCGCCGTTGACCGAGCGCGAGCGCGTGGACAAGAGCAGCAAGACGACAGTCGTGATGCTGCTGACGCGTGAGAAGCACAAAGCGGCATTGGCCAGCATTTCGGCTATGATCAACGTGTAATTAGGATATTTAGCGCGCATGTTTGGCCTGCCCGACTCATGTGTTGACTTGGATGTGCATCTTCTTTGCTGGTGACGACCGATCCTTGTTGAACGATCACGTAGCTGTGTTCCTCTTCGTGTCGAAGGATCGTTCGCTCACAAGAGATGCTGGGGCTCGCTTTCTCGTTGCTCTTGACGCCATAGTTATAGTACCGCAATTGCTTGTGTCAGCGCGATCGTGACATTGCTGTCTTCGACCGCATCGATACTTTTGTGTTCGTAGAAGGGCCTTCTGCAGCAGTGGCCGACTGTTGATCGATACGAAACCCCAAACAGCGTTGCGTAAGCTTTTCAGCTTTTGTCCTGTGCTTTCAGAATAGCCGATTGCCTGACGTCGTAGTCGATGTTTGCTCAGCCATACCCTAGAGCCATCCAGATAGATATACACAAGGAGTTGCCGGCTCTATCGTTCAACATCCCGGAAAGCATTGAAATGGATGCGAGGCATTCTGCTTGCTGCGATATGAATCGCAGCGTACGTTACTGCCGGAGTAGATGCTACTTCCGTAGCAGCATTGGTAAGGTACGATCGCGGACGCACAACAGCTCGTGACGCATCGCTTCCCGCGCGGTATAAGCTCGAATAGTTAGAGTGGAATACGTTGCCTACGATCGCTACAGTATGCAGGTGGCGTCATCGCATATACTGTTGTGGTGCGTGCTCTCTTTTGAACCGTATTGTTTGCTTCAACAACACAATTTGTATCCAGCTAACGTCTCTCTTTTTTCCAGAAAGCTCCCACAAGTTGCGACTCCCCGTTAGGCTCGTTGAGTCAGCCATTCGTACCACAATTTCGGCTCAAGTTGAAGTTGGCACTGATCACGTTATGCGTGATGGCCTAACGGTTCAACGAGTCCGAACTCGGAAGCGGTCTCAATTCGATGGGTGTGGGGGACACGCTCTTCACGTACGTGAAAATGCTTCTGATGATGATCAAGCGACTGGTGGCGAAGATGCTCCGTCATGCGACATTCCGTTTCACTGCAGCCACGCGGTATCTACTGGGCTTACCTCCCGTCGATCTGCCACATGGAAAGCAGCAGCTCCTGAGCACGAAGAGCGTCGACGACACAGTGCGGAGAGAACTTGCGGCCGAGTGGACTGCTGTATTGGAAGAGAACAAGTGGGAGACTGGCGGTCAGAATTTGCTGGACGAGACCGACAAACTCAGCCGCGAAGATGCTTTTGGTTCCGCCACGGAAGACGAACTGATCGAGCTGAGTGACGGAGAAGAGGGACCAGCGCTCGTCTCCTTGCTCGATCCAAGCAGGTTCACCCGTTTGGTCTCGACCTGAGCCCTCGACCTGAGCCAAAACGATGAGCTCGGGATCAGCGACAATGCTCTTGAAAGACGAAAAGCGGCAAAAGCCGTAAAAGCGTTAAAAAAGACGGACAACTGACAAAAAAACAGGTGAAAACAGTTTCGGCACTCTAATCATCGACGATCCTCGTGTTCGCTTTTCTTCCAATCAGATCCCGTCAAAACGACCGCACGTGCGAGCGAGCGGGCGCCAGGAGTAGTGCAGCCAGCGATGCCGTCGCAGTCCACGAAGCGCTCGCTGCTGGCGTTCCTCCTGGCCGCCATCGTAACTATCGCGTGCTTGTTGGTGCTTGCGAATCAGGTGCCAAGCGTCGCAGCTTCTCAGTACAGTCGCCAGGACGCCGGACACTCCGGACGCGCAGACGTCGTCGACAAAGATGCAGACGACGACGACGACAACGACGGCGAAGAGGTGTGGGATTTCATGGACGACGACGCCGTTTTTGGACGTGAAGAGCTACCGAGGCACACTGACGAAGCCGATGCGTTGGCCAACGCCGACCTGTGTGTCGACTCCCTCCCGGATGATCGTGTGGACGATGATTACTGCGACTGCAGCGACGGTAGCGACGAGCCGAACACGTCGGCGTGTTCGCACGTTCTACTGAGCACAAGAAGGAGACCATTCGGTCGGCAGCTGCAGTGCAGAGCTGGGGATAAACTGGTTCCAACGACCTGCGTAGGCGACGGAGTGTGCGACTGCTGTGATGGCAGCGACGAAGGTGAGGGAGTGTGTGATGACACGTGCGAGACGGAATGGCAGTCGAGACTAGACACGCTACAAGAGATATTGGGAGCGGTGCAAACGGGAAAGACGTACCGGGAATGGTATTTGCTGGATGCCATGGACAAAGTTGAGCAGCTCAGGGACGACCATAGACGTCTCATTGAAGCCTACCAGGCTGGCCAGCGTGCTTTTCAAGATACAAAGCGTCAGGCGCAATACGATCCGGGGATGCGACCACAGCTAGAGCGTTCGTACGACGTGCTGCGTAGGGTGCAGTACATCGCATACGTCCAGGGCCGTGTCGCTGATCCCGAGACATTCTCGACCGCAGACTGGAAGCGTGCGTTTGTAAAGCTTGTGGGGCAGTGTTTCTCGTACGAGGTGGACGAGAAGGCACTGAAAGGCGGCACTCCTAACGTTGTTCCTCGCACGTATGAAGTGGTGTTGTGCCCATTCCAAAACGTGTCGCAGGCTGAGCCATCGTATGTGCAATGGGCGAAGGAAGAGCGCCGAACGAAGGGCGTAGCTCCTGTGGCGAATGGAAATGAAATGGACGAAGAAGTACCACGACCGATCGAATTGGGCATATGGAACGAGTGGCAAGATACAGTTCGTTTCACGCGCGTACAGAGTTATAACTACGGCGAGCCTTGCAATAACAGGCAGAAGCGTCAGGTGCGTGTTGAGCTATCGTGTGGTGCAACGAATCGTGTGGTGTCTGTGGAGGAGCGTGAAATGTGCGAATACGAGATTCGCTTCGAGACCCCAGCCGCTTGTGAGTTGGTCGAAGAGAAAGCCTTGCTGACAGAGATTGGTCTGGTTGAACGGTTTTTGAAAGACCGACGACGTCTTGGTGAAGCTGTCGCAAAGGCAGATCGTCGACCTGCGAATCATGAGGAGCTATAGCTGGTGGAGCGAGCAATCAGGGTGCAACAGAGTATACATCATTGGAGTTGCACAGCTGGAGGTACCGGTAGGCGGAATTGTATCAAATTGAGACAGAAGCTTGCTTCTTTCTTGCAGTATTTATTCAAGTAGCTACGATCGAAGCCCTATCACAGTAGCGAGGATGTTTGAGACGATAGTAGGTCGAATAACGTAATTGTGTGTTTGCGATAACGCGCTGCAGATCCACCATATGTTCATAACGGTGAAGTCTTGTCATACCATCGAATGAGAAAATCATATCGATCATGTTACGAGTCCGGGCACTGTGTTATTTGTCTTGATACCGTCGTCGCTGGTCGGAACATCGTCCTGCTCAAAACGGCTGACTTATAAGACTATACAAAAGAATATACAATAGACCGAATGAAAGCGTTCGATACGTCTATGTGCGCTTTGACTAACGAGTAGAAGGTAGGAGAGGGTAAACATGTGTATGTATGTTTATTATCTCGCTTTATTAATCAAGCGGGTGACCAATGAACATCTGATATTGTGAAGCTTATGATCCTATTTACAAAAAATTATAACAAAGTACTTTTTTGTATCGTCATACACATCTCCACGGTCATTGCGATCCTCAGAGGTTTCTAAGATCATCAGTATAAAAGGTAGGTTTCTGAATCCTGCTGCAGGGCAAAAACTGTCCTAACATCAAAGGAAGACGCAGATTCCAAATAGTTCTTTGTTTGCTCGAATATTGTGTGTCGATCCGAGGAGTAACGCTGGTTCCCTTCCGTAGTAAACGCACGAGGAACGGGTGGCGTATGGACATAATCCTGTTCAAAGGACGATGTGAACAAGGCTTACAGGGCTGAGTACGTCAGTCGGGTACTGACACGTGTGCAAATCTTCCCATGTAGGTCTATACAAAGGTTTTACTACAATAGGTAGCAGAGCGTTACAGTTTGTGGTACATGTATATTATAGTCTTCAGCTCTAAGTGCTCTGTATCATAGTATCGATGGCTCTGTGAGCTTCAGACTAATAAGTTAGACTCTGACGTTTATTGAACTTGTTGGATTTTTAGGCGTTCATTTATCTTGCGGACTGATCGAAACGCATAGTCTATAGCTTTCCTCTGGCAAGCTATTATAGCCTCACGAAATTCGTAGTGCTCGTGGACAATCGACACCTAAAGTATGAGACTGATACTATACGAGGATGGAGCAATTTGATTATCTCTTAAAGGCCTAATAGGTTGCGCTTTTTAAGCCGACCGAAACGATGGGCGCAGAGTATATTACCTTCATTGCACCGCAAGCCCAGACATGACATCTCCACGACATAAGGCCTTCTTGATACATAAGTCAGCCCTAGTTCGGCAGGTCTAGTGTAACGAGCCTGCTACATGATAGCATCAGTAATAAATTTATAATAATAAGAATGTTTTGTTTAGTATTCTCATCACAATATCACCAAGTTCATTCATATTGTTGCAAAGACCTAAGGGGCTACTCATTGATTAAGATAGGCAAGCACATTCACCCCCTATTCGTTGCTAGACATGCGAAATAGGTGGTGAGTAGACGTTACCACAGATGTTTTACATTAATATGGTTTTGACAGGACTAACAATACAAGACACATTCCAGAGCTTAATTTTACCAATACAGTTTTCCTTTTTCGTCTTTAACGGCGTTCGCTTAGTCTAAAGTCTTTCTCGTCGTAATACGTACGTAAATCCACTCGGCACAAGTTCTCAATGTTGTCAGTGCGTAGCTACCTCTGCCCCGTTACAATCAGGACCAATCGGCGTCGACTACGCCACACGCTATGTGCATGTGGCAGAAATCAAGTCATTTAGTTGTGATCGTTCTTAACCTTATTTGTCAAGGAATGATACGACATTCCGTTCTGGGTTCGAAATGTCTAAATCGCCATGTGATTTAGCGTGTTTAATGGATTAAAAACCAGAACGCGGCGCTAATCGTCTCGTAACTCAAAATAATGGTTAGTGTGCTATAACGTCCAGCACGCTCGCTTACGCTACATTTTCGACGTAATTAGTCGATAAAGGTACATCTTTCGCGCGAATTTGCGCCGCCTAACGAGACATATCGCATAACATCTTTATTCTTATCACCCGTCAACGTAAAAATGATCCAACGGAATTTGTCTAATATATGAGAACAATCGTTGATAATTATTGATTCTTTCAGAGGCGGTCTATTACATCCTATTTATATAATCTCTTTGTACTAGAATTGGCAGGGAAGAAGTGTTTTGTATGTATATCGCCGCGTTTGTGAAGAGGCGGCGCAATATCGCAAACCGCTTCATTTTAATTATATCCGGATAAACGTTTACGTGTTATGAGTACAACCCCATCTGATTAAGATTGCAGAGCTCTCAGTGTGAAAAGCAAAGAGAGTTTGGTAAAACAAATTATGTTGGAACGTGCATTAGACGTGTATTGCCCCCCACAGGTATCCCTTGTCAGTGGATTGCTGATTCGCGAAGTGAGCTCTACTCTATTCTGCGCTGGCCCCCAAATATCAAACTTTACAGAACTTAGCGTAACTACACATCACCGCCCCATAACTACCTCACCTAGCAGCTAGGGCATCAACCGTACAAGTATTGTCCACTGATTAAGCTTCATCTCCAGCTCATATGAGCTCGAACCAATCAAACTCCACACCGTTTAAAATGGGGCCGAGCTTAAAGATACTGATAAGTAAGGTCACACCCGACGAAAAGTTTGCTGCGGACGCATTAAACAAATGCAACCGCTTTTTACATTGTACCAACTATGCTGGAATTTCTCGATCCCATCGTATTTCCTGAAGCAGCATTCTATTACGGCGAAAGCAAGTGTGTCGGAGTGGGGTCTTAAAACTTCGTGATTAGCCCCTAAAATAACAACTGTTCCGGACTTCCGACTTATGGGGAGGGTTACCCCGATGTCGCGTATATAACTTGACTCACCTTGTGCAGCCGTCGGCTGGCGGGTTTCAATATTCGGTAGGCTCGGACGGAGACGTAGATATGGTAGCCTTAGCAGAGTTAGACCTTTCTCCGCGTGGATATGCTTCACTCGGTGGGCCAGTAGGAGGCCACTCGACCGACTCGGTCGAGAGTGGGCTTATAACCACATTCTTCAAGTATCTTGTCACTCCTGACATTTCGTGTAATTGCAGGGGTTTGAACCTCTTGGCCTCTATCGTGCTCTCTATCCGCTAGGTTGAGATACCGCTTTCGATATTGGATCTTTAGGGGGTTGCTACTCGACGAATCCACATTTACAACACTTCCTGGTTTTTACTCGCACTTGGTATCGCCACGTAACTGTCTTCAACGGGGGAGGGACAAAGTGTATCTCGTCTCCGAGACAGGCAAGCAGACTAAACAAGTTATCTATTTAAGCACGACGACGTGTCACATAGATCGCGAATGGAGTAGTATTCAACATAGTCCTATCCTTGAACTTCTCTTGTCTATCCCTGCTCAATGCACTGACTCTTCATGCGACTGGTCAGGAGTATCCGGACCTTGAGGGACCGGTTATACGAGCAAGGGACCCTGGTTTATCGGTGAGAAACCTGGTCTACCAGTGAAGGACCGGGCATTCAAGTGGGATACCCAGGTCTACCGGTGAGGGACCCAGGTATACCAGTGAGGGACCCGGGTCTACTAGTGAGGGATCGGGTCTCTCATTGAGAGACCGCGGTCGTCTTCGCGAAGTACCACTTAGCCGGTTTTTTGGCAACGTCCTTCCCCTTGATTGGTCTTGAGGTCTCTCTCCCGTGGAGGTCCTACCAATTTCGAGGCCACTTCTCCTTCTTACACCTCTTTCCCTGAGGATGGCCCCTTGTATCTTTACCGCGCCGAACTCTGGGTTCATCATTCTTCAAAAGCACTTAACCACATAATGTTCCCGTATAGATATGTATGCAATCGATGATCGAGTGGTTAGGGTATCTTATATTTATTTGGTTGATCTAAAATTTTATTACCAGCGTCTGAGTCGGAAGCTTTGTCGTCAATATAAACTCAATGCGTGCATTACTCACAATGATTACATGGTCTAGAGTAAAATAACTCGGAAATATATGCTGGTAAGTTTTTCTGTGTCTTGTAACTCGAATCGAGGCTTTAATCAAAGAAAAAGTTCTGCTACGCATCAACCTATTAGTGCGGAGGTCGACACTGATCAATGATATAGATAAGAAAAACATATATTGGTGCTGGAAAATATTCTCCTGTATCATCAAACAATAGATTTACAATGTGCACAAGTTCAAGTATATGCTATCGCAATTGACTTACCATTTACACAAATAATGCAGCATATACACCGGTAACACGTCGTTAAATTCGACCAATTTTTCCTTCTGGATTTGATTGCAAACAAAATTTACGGCTGAGAAGGAGGCCCATTAAACACTATTATTTCCATGGACACTTTCGCTAATCATTTATTGCCATGACTCCTTTCATTCTCATTAGTTTCCACCAGAAAATGTTTTGGTCGACAAACTTGTCCTATATAAAGAGTAAACCGATATGCTATCCATTGCAATGTGCAGATAGCACGAATATTGACTAGCTATCAATTGTTGAGATTTGTTTTGTTTCAATATAATTTGGTGGGGGTTCAACTGATAATCAGATTAGCGCACAAGAACGTACACTTGACATGCTATAATTCAAGCCTGTTAGCGCCCTTATTCGTTACTGGGTGTTAAATCCTCCTTCGATCAATTTGCAGTGGCTAATTTAATGCTCTATAATGCACATCATACAACTAAAGCGACATAATATACGATCAAATCTTTTGCTAAATTTATACTTATTTGATGGCTGCTGAGCCTAATTCGATAATCCCACAATACTTCATAAGCTGCGCTCTAGGTGAACAATATAATCGTCTCATCGACTCATTTAAGTGGTAGCACTTCATCACGGCAATTCCGTCTACGTATTATTCGAAACCATCATTTATAGTATGTCTGGATGCCGCTTTGTGCTCGTGTGAAGTCGTCATATTGCTTAAAGACCCATAATCAGCTTGCAACTAAAATTTTGGAAGTATCACTCGTTCAAGTTGCTATTCTACCTTCGTACTAGAATGTATATCATGTTTCACCGTGAAAAAAATTGGGATTTGCTAATAAGGTCTCAAGATTTATCGAGCACACCGCCATCCCCGGCGTACATTTTATATGTGCCTAAACCTATACGATGCGATCGATTGAATTGTTTTATCCTTCAGTGATATTCATAAGACGTTTTCCTACTATACTTGAAACTCTATGGAATACTACCTATTTATGTCTAGCTATACATGAATAGGAAGTATTCCATACTTTTTTTGGTTTCACATAAATACCAGACATATATTTTGCGAAGTCTATTCATGACAGGTGTGACATCCAACAGGTTCTACGCACCGGGTTCCTTATCACGAACTATCGTGCTGATAGAAATGTATTTGTGCACACTCCTATAACGCCGTTTATTATGTATATTACGCAACAGAACGTCTTGCGGTAAGCGTCAACAAATACGGACGCTAACGACTCACGCCAATAGTGCTCATCATCGTTGAAATCATCAAAATAGTCATCATGATTAGCTGCGATCGCTTCCACCGTTGCTTCTCTGTTCAATGCCTTTTGTCTACTTTTACTTTCTGTATTGCTACTGTTGGCTGTTATACAATTGTATACGCAATTTCTCCTTCTATCAGCGCAAAATCCTACTTTCAGCGCTAAATTCGTCAAAATGAACCGGAACTCTAATAATTGGCACAACACCTTTGGATCGTGATAATCGTGTCAACATTGCTGTCACGCTTGCATAAAGTGACATAGTCGAGGATCTCGAATATATACGGTACCACCTTTTTGTACGTTCAAAGTTTTGATCTTTATTGTTGAGCAGCAAAAGACTAAGTACGATTCGACATTGTACCAAACATTTTGTAATGATGCAATGTGTTTTTAATTTGCATACTCACCTCGCTGCGCTTATCACAAGCGAAGTTTGCTTTCTGGTTTCTGTAATGTTCGTGACAGCTTATGACGCGTCTGAAGTCAGCCACTGACCGCGTGGGCGTCACAGTTAATTTATCGAGTATAGTCCGCACAACTTGCATTCAAATATGAATTTATTAGCATCATTACTTGAATTGCCAAAACGTTTACGCATTCAGTACTTGGTATTCTCCATCTTAAATATCGTACAATATACTTACTTCTTAATGAAGGAAACCTTTTCCATAAAATTGCTTGTGACACGCAATACATATTCCACACGCATGTAAATCCCAATACGATGAATACGCATGCAAATTCAATACGATGAAGTCGTCGTTGTGTAGTTCAGTCAGTTAAATGAAGACATAATGATGAATTTGATTAATATATGGATAACCATTGGCCCCAGATCTTATTATGGTAGGATTGAAAACTATACGAAATCGCATTTTTTCCTGTAATTTACCCCACTTTACCCCAATTGTCTCTCTAGATATACAAGACCGGCTCCGCTATAAATTAATCATAGTAGACACGTATTATTCAGCGATCATTGTTTGTGGTTTACGTACGAATAGTTTATATTGGACCGTATATCGATACTCGCATCACGCATGCGCATCATTCTTTGACCCAAACCTATCGACTGTATTTTCGTACTGCTCTTCCATAGCTGTGCATTTAAATCGGTAATAGTGACCCCGCATCATATGTAAATCTTTCCACACCATATTGGGCTGATGATCATCATACGATGAAGCAAATTCTGCCTTTGCTACCAGAAGATGTTATACACGTCTCATGAAGCTCAAATACTTGCCTTTGGCGACAATTAGGCGTTCATTTTTCTCTCAAGCGTGATTACTTGTAGCTTTGAAAAGAAAGGGAAATGTCCGCTCTAATCTATTCCGGCACGACCACATCGATGACGAAATGAGATTTTTGCTGCCATCATATTCACTCGAGGCCAGTAGCTGTCATGTGATGTGTGGACGCATTTTGCCTTCTATTATTTTCATATCATACCTGTCTATGGTGGACGAAGAATAAACAAATGCTACCGGGTACATTGAGATCACGTTGAGCTTACATTGACGATATTTTTTCGAAATGTGATCCGGAACTTTTCGCCCAATATAAATGCAATAAATGATTACTACTATTCCGCATGCGTTCGTCCTTCTTCCTCAAGCTATTATGGTTGTTACTTCGTGACTTATATGCAGTTTGGCACCAGCTTCCAGACAAATTTATATTACCTTCAAAGAAGTTGACATAAATAGTGATACCTCTCAAAGTAATTTTGTCGGATATAGTCAGCTATTACAACAATGCTTGACTCCACATACGAGCAAAAATGATGATACATTGTCATTGGCTCAACCCGTCACAAATCGTCTCGTCACCCTTCCTGTTATGTATCCATTCACAAATATTCACCATAAATACAGCGATTTGTTCCGTCTATCATACAGTAGTCATGGCAAATTATCGGTCTGCATTCGTCGACCTATCGGCTTCAGACCCGTTCCAGTGAACTTTTCATCCATTTTATCGTATGTAAGGCCATATACAGATAATTCGAAGGAGCAAGCGACTAAATTGGAGAAGACGTGGTATCGCCTTTGTCGCTGTCAAAGCGCGCTTCGCATGCGAGCTTGGATTCCCTTTCATCATGTATGAGCATGCCCTAACATCAATAATGAAATATGGCGTATAGTACACCGTCTTAACATTGTTCGGTGTGCTTTCAGCAGTCTAGACGCTAATATACAAAAAGTGATACATTGGTCTGGTTGTACACATGGCATGTATGCTTGTACATAATTTACTAATCACGAGTTAAAGACTACTTCGCTGTCAGATCTTACACCATCGGTACAACGGTTTGTAAGATTTGTGTATGGCAACGAGTTTTAGAAGGAAATGCATCGAAGCAATTGAGGGATTATTTGACTAAACACTCGTGACACATGCCTTGAGAGGTGATAGAGTTTCCACAAATTTATAGTACGCTATAACCATTTGGCTCATCTTGTACAGAATGCGAAAACAATCTGCATTAGTGACTTCCGAGTATCCGGAATATGACTGATGATCTTGACTCTATTCATCGTGTTCTTTCAAAATAAAACAAAGAACGAGCCCTAAAGACCTACCGATGAATCAGAGATCCTAAATGCAAGCTTTTATATAATTTTTATACAGCATACAAGGCTTTCTGATCGCAAAACAAGGCTGACTTTGGGGCAAGCCTATGGGCTTGTCGTCTCATCAATGATGGTGGGTCATTATTTATTGTTTTACATGTGAAGCAAGGATGATGCATTCTTAATATCGCACTATATTTGCCGCATTAATTACATTGATGCTCACGGTGATGAGCGACTTTGCGTCAGATATATTACAAGCTTGTATAAAATTGCAGTACGCCCAATGATTGCTTGCTCACTGACTTCAAGAATAAAGATTGTGCATAGTATTTCCACCATGAATAACTCACCGCGCCTAATACAGGTCGTCTGATTTTGCGCCTGAGAGCGGAAACTCAGAATGTAATCATATCGGCTTCTATTACCACGCGTGTCGAACGCATTTGGCTCGCCACCGCGGTCCTCTATAGTGGCTGGTAGATCGAAGCGGCAGCAACTTTCAGAGCTGTGACACGTGCCACGGCCCTCTGCCCCCTGACACCTATGCTGAATGCACTTAAGATCAAGTCGTCAACAGACTAATTTAGTGCTGCCTAGATCTTCACTGATGTATATCTTGTTCGAAAATATCGTTTCTAATAAGTCGTCAAGGGCTTGAGGATCAAGTGCAAGACACGTTACAGGTCATGTCCGGCCTAGACTGATTGACTGTTTCGTCACATCGGGACAAAGAAGACAAGGAGATACCACCACCACATCGAACTATCATGTGTTGTGACAACCTGACGTGTGCGGTGAGGAGATACGGACACCAGATGGGACCATCATAAATATGACGGGCGAAACAGACGGACACGATATGCAACCAGGCATGGTCAAGTTGCAGTGCTGTTGGTGATGCTTGCTGTAGGATTGACGAGTGAGTGTAGTTGACTCCAGATATATTTTACTTGTATTTCATACATCCTTTGTACACGGGCAATCGACAGCATCAATGGTGTGACGTTTACTGCAAAGCAAGAAACGAAGAATTGCTATGGATAGTAAACATTGCTGGAGCTATTGGGTAGCACGTGTATATGGAGGTCGAGAAGCTTTCAGAGTTGATCTGTCAAAAAACTTTGCGCGCGAAACGATTCCTCCGTAATGCGCATTTATGCAGGTACGACGGCGAGCCTAATGATGGTCTGCAGAAAAAATGTGCCATTTTTCTGTTTAATTGATTTCATTTCTACTTGTATGTGATCTAGTATTTCGAGAAACGCTGTCGCATGAAGCCTTTTTTTATTTCCGCAATATCGAGTTTTTTGTGCGCTGGCCTTTCGTGCGTCATACTGTATTTATCGGTGTGATACGCAACCGATTGCACGAACGGTATGACAGGCGACAGAGCTACCGTTTCTAACAGATGTCGTGAAATGCGATCAGTTTTAGCTTCGAATGTTGCCAGAGACGAGCGAAACTGGCATTTAGCCACCAGTATTTACATCATATCACCACCAAACCTCCTCTGTCGTTCCTCTCACCCCCGTATAAAACCATCTTTATCCAAAAGCAAAAATCGAGGAGGGAGGGGCGTTTCGTATCAAAAGAACAACACTCGAGAGCCACGTCCCCTTTTGGCCTCCGTCTCCTCATCCTATTCGGCTCTCCTCGAGTGAGGGACTGAGTAAGTGAAGACGTGGCTGGGCGCAACGCCGCCGTGTGGTGCCCCGAGCATGAGCAGTATCGAGCACTTGCTGGTCGAGAGCGACGATGACGACAACGAGGACTTGGGGGACTTGGGGGAACTCGATCTCTCGGCCATTACGCTGGAGGAGATTCTGCGCGAAGAAGAAGCGGCTTCGAAGTCACTGGAAGACGGACAGGATCATTGCGACACTTTGCAGGAGGGCGACGACCTTTTCTTCGCCCCTGCCACGTTCACGCTTCACATTGAGCCTGGACCGGGGATGGACGTGATTCCAGTGCGTCGGGCAGCGGCGCCTGCAGCGTCGATAAAGACGGAGACGCAATTCCGGACGCCACTGGAGATCGCCGAAGCGAGAGAGAAGCAGTTGCTGAGCTGCATTGGAGTGGAGCTCATCTCGCCGTTGCAAGTGAAGCGACGGCTGCGGGCTCATGCTCGGTCCAAAGCTCTGCAGTCGAGGCGACAGGGACTTGTGGCCAGAAAGAAGAATGAGAAAAACAAGCGGATTGCGAAAGGCGCGGGAGTCGCGATGACGACGGCCGAGAAAAAGTCTACGGGCGTTGTAAAGGTCGAGCCGATGGAGGCCATTAGTCGACAGCTCCGGAAGAATATTGAGTTCAAAGAGTATGGTCCCGGGTCACCCACGGTCGTGGCAATCCACTCCAAGTTCATTGCCATTGGCACGTCCAAGGGACTTGTCGTTATCTTTGATCATTTCCAGAACATTCGACAAGTGCTGGGGAATACGAATGACGCGGATGGAGATGGACCTGTCACCGCAGTGGATGTGTCCCCTGGTAGTGACTACTTGGTTTGTGGCTTCCAGAGCGGGCGCATTGTGCTCTGGGACATGATCAAGGGCACGTCGCTGAAGGCAGTGTCGGATGCGCACGAGAACCCGGTCGTGAGTCTGCGGTTTTTAAAAGACCAAAAACCAGTACTTGTCTCCGTAGACACCAATGGGTTGGTGAATAAGCTGAATTTTTCAAAAATGATGGGAATGGTTTACGTGGTGGATGTGGACCCGCTATACGATGGTTCGGCAGGCAAGATCTTGTCGATATCCGTGCTGCCGCAGTCTGCTGGTAACGCAAAGATCTCGTACCTTACCGATCAGTATTGCCTTGCTGCACTAAGCACAGAGACCGTGACATTTATTATTGCTATCGAACCTGAAGTCCGCGTGATATACCGCTGGGCACGACCTGACGACATTACGGCTGACGACCCGGTGCTGCCAACGTTGGCGTTCGCATGGATATCTTTTCCTGGTAGCTCTCGAGCACTGGCACCTGTGCTTGCACGTGGCTGGGGCAACCGCGTGCAGTTTTTGGAGGTGGTTTTTCCAGGTGGCAAGAAACATTTACATGCGCGCCACGGTTTTCCTACCTTTGACGAGCATGACCAGATTGAATCGTCGAGTGCTGTGATGGCGGTACAGTGGCTCGGCGACCAAGTTGTGGTGTATTTGAATTCACATGACGAAATTTGCGTCTACGATGTGATGTCTCGCCAGGAGCTTGAGATCGTGGACGTTTCATCGTTGGAATTGGTGTTTGCATCATACCGCGGCAAGAATGCTCGCAGTTTTTCGAATAGTTTCCGAGGCTGCTATAACATCTTATACCTCCTTGGTCTGAAGGAGTTACAAACAGCTCGCGTGCTGCCGTGGACACAGCGTATTGATTTGCTCGTGGACGATGGCGAGTGGCTGGAGGCGCTAGCACTGGCGCTGGATCACTACGAGGGACTCAAGACCGCTGCGGCTGATCGTGCTGCGAGAGATCGGTTTCCGCCTGTGTTTTTCCGCGACAAGCAGAATGATCAGTGCCTTGTCGATATCTTGCACATGTGTCAGACGAATCAGCGCACGGGCGAAAAAGAGGATGTGTTTCGACATGAAGAAAGTGCCGATGAAGTACGTTGGGTGTGTGGTGAGGTGCCGTATCCGCCTGACATTGCTAAGAAACTTGAAGAAACACTGCAAAAGGCGCGCAGCGGCGAGGTGACGAAGAATTTCGTTCCTATCAGTGTGGCAGAGCGTGTGGCAGACCTGCTCATGGAATATGTGCGTCTTGCTATCGCCAACGCACCGGGTTCCACAGCTGCTGCTGGAGGTGAACTGAGTCTGAACAAGATTGGAATGAAGCTAGATCTGGCGAAGAGTCATTACCAAATGTTGGCGGGTGTGTGCATCGAGTACTGCGCTCTTATCGGCCGCACCGATCTACTTTTCGGCGAGATATACACGCGTTTCAAGGACGCGAACAAGCTGAGTGTGTTTATCGAGCTATTGGAGCCGTACATTCTCTCCGAGAAACTGAGAAACGTGTCTCCTGTGGCTATGGAGGAGTTTGTCAGACAATTTGGTGCTCAGGGCAAGCTTGCTCAAGTCGAACAGTGCCTACTTCACTTGAACGTGGCTGAACTGGATCTGGATACAATCTTGAAGCTTTGCCACGACCATGAGCTGTATTCGGCTCTTATTTACATTTACAATGAAGGACTAGACGATTATACGACGCCAATCGATGTGTTGTTGGAGGCTTGCTCCGATGCGAAAGCGTCAATGCCAAGTCCGGCATCGGAACCAGCGTCAAGAGCCACTCGAGCACCATCCGGGAATCGAGTAAACAATTTGGCATCAGCCTTTGGTGGTACAACGCGTACAGTTACTTCTAAAGTCTCAATCGCAAAGCCGGCGGCATTGTCAGCGCGGGAAAAAGCCGAAGAGTTGGCACTTAGTGGTCCGCGCCGCCGGCGCTTGTTCGGGTACAAGCTGCTGCTGTATATTTCGTACGCGTTGAGTGGTCGCACATTCCCGAAACACGAGCAAATCTCGCCTTTGAAGTTGGGCAGGGTGCGCTCGCAAATCTGTTTCCACTTGTTTGAAAAGACAGTGGCAGGGTCGTCAAAGTCACGACCGTATCCACGCCTGGAAGCGCTTATCGATCTCGATGCTCGCGAGCTTTTCAACATTATGGGGCGTATGTTTGACACTACCAGCGTTGAATTCGAAGGCGAGAATAAGGACATATCGGGCCACCCTACAAGCCGGTACGACTCGGCTCGAAATGCCGAGATGACCAAGTGCCCGAGCCGTGTGTCGATCGTGCTTTCGCTTGCGGAGGTCATCTTTGGGCCAAATAGTCCGTTTAGCTCTGTTGAGCATGCCCATTTCTTTATGTTCGAGGCTCGACTTCTCAGTGGCGGTTCTATTGAGCCGCAAGAATATGCTGACGCACGTGCCCAGGCCATTGGTGATGCTGGCTCTGCTGGCGGTGCATCGATGATGGATTCACTGATGAACTTCCTGGCTCTCGGTCCAGCATCGCTGCTTTCCAAAGGCTCTTCGGCAGTCACACTAGAAACTTCGCAAGAGGAGGGTTTTGACAAGACTGGCCGCGAGGCAATGCTCGTACGTCTACTGACGAAGCTAAGCAAGGCAACGTATAACCACAATGCGTTGTTGGCAAGTGTCATTCGGGAGAAGATGAACCGCGCTGCTGTGTTGCTGTACAAGGATAAGGGTGATTTTAGCCAGGCAATTGCGTCCTATTTGGCTGATGAAGATCAGGAATACCGAATGAACGCTTTCAGCTATATCCGGACGGAGACCGACAAGGCAGTGGGGGGCGAAGAGATGGAAACTCGCGACAGTAATGGCAGTGAACCTACCCGCCGCCGTCAGAAGTTCATTGAAGACGCCATGCTTAGTCATGCCCCTGCACTCATGAAAACAGATGGCTACGCGTTTGTGACACTGATTTTGGGTCAGTTTCCCAACTTAAACAACAAGGTCATCCAAAAGTTCTTGTCGATGGGCAAGGAGGGCGCAAAGCTCGAGTTTCTGTACCTCAAGCAAGTACTTATGGCTGCACCAACTACCAGTGGCACCACTGCAAGTGACGAAGCCGACGTCGTAAAGGATCTCTTGGATCGCTCGAAACTGCGCATTGCCGATGACCCTGCTGTGCAAGAGCGTTTCGTGCGTCTTTTGTGCGAGTTCGAGCCTGCTGGCGTGTTTCCATATCTCGAATCGCACGATAGCTACAAGGTGGATGCGTGCTTGCGTCTTTGCAAGGAGTTTGCCATCACAGACGCCGAAGCGTATTTGCTCGAAAGAACGGGCGACGTAACTGGGGCACTCACGCTCATTCTGCAAAGTTTGGAACAAAAGCTAAAGATCCTGAAGCCTGCTCTGCGTGGTTACAATGTCTCCGCCGTGTCTTCGTCGTCTGCAGGAACGTCTGACATGTTATCAGGCGCTGCAGCTGGCTCGAGCAGCTCCAGTGGTACGCGACAATTGTCGTCGGACCGCATCGTTGACAGTGTGCAGGAAGGCAAGGACGCTTTGAAAACACTGGAAGTGGCCTTGACCATGTGTCAGCGAAATTCGTTGAGAAATCGTGACGAGCAGGCGGAGAAGCTTTGGTTTACGCTGCTGGACAAGCTGCTGCGTATTCAGAATTCTGTGAAGCGCAGCCTCAGTTCCAAGTCTACGTCTCGTAACGCACCTGTCACTCGGACGCACAGCAGCGGTGCGAACGGCGGGGCTATGACTGCATTCCAAGTGGCGCTGAACGAAATGATTCGTTTTATCCTTGAGCGTATGGCGTCGTCAGTGTCACTGAAGTCGATTCTCTTCAAGATTACGAACGAACACGGACGTGGCGCCTTTGGCGATTTCCGGCCCACAATCTTTGGTATGCTGGACACGTACAACTACGAGCAGAATATCTATCAGACAGCGAATGCGCTCATTAGCGTGGATCTTTTCGATCAGATCGTGACGCTGAAGCGCTCCAAGTCTCGCTGTTATGCGCCGCCATCGAATATGTGCGGTTACTGCCACGTCGCACTCTCCAAACCGCCCTTTGGAATGGGCCAATCTGGAGCCCTCGGCACGGAGAAGTGGCACTTGCACACGTCGATGGTACTAGTTATGTCAGGCCAAACTTTCCACGAGTCCTGTGGTAAGGCATGGCAGCAGGGCGTGGACGTCAAGACGCCAGCTGTACGTGGAGCTTCGCCGGCGAAACTCACGCGGAACAACAGCTCAGCAAGTAGCGCGACTGGCGATGGATTGGCAGAAGACGAAGCTGGCAGTCGCCTTCAGCGCAAGCAGCCGAGTACGAGGCGCTATCTGGCTCGGCTGAAGACCCAGCGCCGTGCTTCACGACGACGGGTATCGCCACACGTTGTGCTAGAGAGTCTCATTCGTGAGGACAACGGACGTAACAAATACCTCAAGAGCTCGCGCGCAGTATTCTCGCTGCGCCCGGATCCAGAGGTTGCTGCTAGCAAGGTCAAAAAGCGCCTGGGAGTGCGCAAACCCGGTTCACTTCCCATGGTGCCCATCCAGAAGGGCAGTATCTAGGGCGATGTCAAAATGGGACCGTGTGGACTTGACTGCCACCGCTGTGTGGGATACTGCTGTGCATGTCATAAAGATCGAAGAGAGAGGAAAAGGCATGAATCGTCAAATCAAGTTCTCTTGACTGCTTGCTAGTTGTGAATCGTCTGGAAGGGCACCACACCGGCAGGCCGCGGTCCAGATGTTTTTCTCTGTCATTTCAGCTCGCTCGACTGCAATGCTACGAGCAAAACCGGCCTTCATTCTATGCAGGGAAAAGCGTGATTTACACTACAGTCGAAGGTGCTGAGGTGGCTTGTTCCCCGATCAATTACCGGCGTTATTGCGTCAAGATTTGTACGAACGATGTGTGAGATAGCGAGAGGTTGCTGGCAAGCCAAACGTGTTCACCTCTGGGTCAAGGGGCATCTCTTCGTTTGTTGATGGTCGGTCTGTGTGGACCATTGACCAAGGTTGCGGCACGTAGCGAGCCCGTGTGACAATCAGAGCTGAAACATGGCTCGTGTGAACGTGAAGACGTGTTTGCTCTCGACGCTCTGGATGACGTGTACAAAAGTGGTCAATGCAATGGAATTGAGGCTTTCTTTACGACGGGTAGCACGGCGAACGGCAGGTGCAGTGATGATAGATGTACAGCGTCGGCATACGACCTGGTGATATGTAGCACGAAGTCGAGCTTTCCAATTGCTCTGGTCGCTGTCATCGTAGCGATGAAGAGTAAGTAACAACGGCGGTCGTGGTCTGGTCTTTTAAATCGCTTACGATAGTATGTGCATTCTTGCGGCATTTTTGTGTGTGTTGTGCTGCTGAACTCTAATGGTATGGGGCAAAGGGCGCTTGAAGACTTTGTGATCGTGGCGAGTGTATATGCCTCTGAATCTGAAGGATAAACTGCTGTCAAAAAAGACTTTCGTACCTTCGATGTCCTTTTGCTGTAACTAGTCCCGATCTTCGATAGCGCTGCAAGTGTCGGACAGATTCGATCATATAGTAACAAGGCGAAGAAGACGTTGATGGAAACGGTCGACGACAATCACTCAGAAAATCGGCTAATCTGCGATCATGACTTTTGTTTGGACTCTTGATAGTCGTCCACAGCCTCAAGAAAGGGGCATTTCCTCCACAATGCGTCGCCTGACTCATGTGATCGTCATCATCATGGTTGGTGTAACTGAGCGAACTCGGGCACACCGTGCAATTAGTACGCTAGCTTACACAGACGTGACTTCTTGTCTTCTGCCTTCCAGTGCTGATACGAACGCGGCGCACAAGTCCAGATCAATACTTGTGCCGATGAACAGTGACCACACCAAATTACCACAGTGTCGTAGGTGCACACATAGACCCAGACTTTGGTGTGACCTTGTAACAGGAATTTCTGTGCTGCTGTACATCCGCTCATGTCGAGCGGAAAGAGAAACACCGGGCGCGGCAGTCAGTGCTGATCAAGCTGAACTGCCTTGCACCGAACATGCTACTTGCATTCCGTCTGTAAACAATCGCGTTCCAACTCGTTCACACACGACACGAAAAATCCTGAGCTGGAAACGAATGTCGAGAAAGCTGGTGCTGTTTCAAAGTGTGGCGTCACCTCATTCCGTCACGTTCAATAACATTAAATCTCGTCCCTACGCGCTCAACCAACTGTCTGCGTGACTGTAGGTCACTCCTCACGATCGTTTGCGCTCCCGAGTTTCATAACTACGGTCAAACTTCCGTCGCAAGTTGTGCGGCAGATTTTCGGCGGGCTCCCACGTTAACTCGTCGTAGCCGACCCATTTGACCTTGTACTCGTACGTCTTTAGTCTCGTTGTGGCGTCCCGCTTCCTGCGACGATCTACAATTTCCTGCACCGTGTACACATCCTCACGTACAGGCTGTCCCTCGAACTCGTCGATCAAGTCCTTGGAAATGTTGCTCGCGGGCTCCCACGTCGTCTCGTCGTAGCCCTCCCACTTGACTTCGTACAAGTCCTGCTCACCGAACGTTTCAGCCGTCTTTTTCCTCAAAATCTTCTCCACTTCGTACACATCCGGATCTTCCGTGTCAAACATGTCGTTCGGCTCGTCGTCATCGTCCCCGTCCGACGACAACACCACTTCTATCGGCGGCAAGTTGCTCGACCTCTTCGTGCGTCTCGTCGGCCGACTGCCACTGTCCGACTCTGCACTGGACGACGACATTGACTCGTCGTCGCTTGTGCTGCTGCTCGACTCGTCAAGCGACAGCTCGTCCTCCACGTCACTCCCTTCCACGTGCACGCGCTGCGTTTCTGCTTTCCTCTTCTTCCTGCCATCTCTATCCGCCACAGCCTTCGTCTTCTCCTCCTTGACCGTCTCCTTGTCCTTTCGCTGCCGCTTGTTCTTCTCCCTCTTCTTCTCCCTCTTCTCCTTCTTCTTGTCATTCTCCACGCCCCTCTCTGCTGCGTCCTGCGCGCTCATCGCAACCTTCAGCAGCTCCTTCTCGCGCTCTTGGCGCTCCCGTCGATCCGTCTCCTTCAGCGATTCCATACAAATCTCAGTACTGAGCGGCTCGTCTCCCGCTGGTTCGTACGCGCGCATCCAGTCGCGCACGAGCGCCAACTTGCGCGAGTCGGCGCCCACGTGCTCCAGCAGCGGGACCGTACGTATCGCATTGAGCGCGAGCTGGTCCTTCTCCGTGTTGTACAGACCCAGCGACTCGGGCAGGTCCTGGCACAAGGTCACGAGCGCGCGGTCCATGAGGACCGAGGACTCGTCCAGCGCCATTTCGGTCAAGTTGCACGACGGTCGCTCGTGCGGGTCGCGTATGTTGCTCGACTACCTGCAACCTTCCGTCGACATGTCACCACGCGGACCCATTCACAATGGCAGCCATGTGGACGCTGGCGCGGCTCGAGCGTGCGGTCGAGACCTTCTCGGCACAGCTGCAGTGCGCGATCTGTCTCTGTGCGTACGAGAATCCCGTGTCGCTGCCGTGCAATCACTGCTTCTGCGAAGAGTGTATCCATCGGGCGCTGGAGCTGAAAACGCTCTGTCCTATCTGCAAGACGCCGGCGAACAAACGGCGTCTACGCTACGACACGACACTACGAGAGCTCCTTCGAGCGATGGAGATGCTCAGTGCTACGCCAGAAAAAGTCGTGCAAGCTGAGACGCCCAAAGCGGATGGAGAAGAGAAGGAACTGCCGCGTCGTGCGGCGGCTCAAGTTGCTGGAACGCCGCCGCCGCCGCCGCGACGCAGTACACGCAACTTGACGGCCGGTAGCTCATTGTTGACGAATAAGCGAGTGACTGGAAAGTATTTGCCGCTGTGCAGTCAGCTGGAGGTAAACGAAGAAAGCGCAGCTAGGGGCGGTGCCCTGGCAGAAAGAAGATCGTCGCCTCGACGGGCGCTGCTGCAGGACGTACAGTCGCCGACGACAGATGGTCTGCTTTCAGATGTCAAGTCTGGTAACAGGGCTAAGCCTCGAAGAGTAGATGCGCGTGCTTGCAAACTCACCAAGGAAGATACGGTGGAGACGCTTACGTTGCAACCACCCGTTGATGCTGATGACGGAAGTGCAGTAGATGTTGTCGTAGCTGAAACGCAGTTAGACGATGTGGAGAAACAGTTGCGCATGACAAGACGGCGACGGCAGATGTGCACACAGTTAGATGCGGTACAGGACGATGATAACACGCAGCGAGTACCGAGTACGCGACTGCGGTCTGCTGCTAATCCAGTTGCAGTGGCAAACACTCGCTCGAATAAGACGTTGCTTCGGACATCAACATCACGCAAAAGACGGCGGACAACAGTCAGTGGCGCCGCGCCAGATATAGCTGCAGGTATAGCGTTAAGGAGGACGGCAGTGTCTAGCAGACCGCTACCGCCTCGCTCTGGATCGGTGCGTGTCTCCCCACTGGCTGTTGATTGCCAACCGCCCATACGAAGCGCCGAAGGCAAAGCATTGTTTCAAGTGGGAGATCTGGTGGATGTCATCGAGCGGCAGTGGGTGGGCATCAACAAACGGAGTGGGGCTGCGCGCATCACGAAAGTTTGTGGGGACGGCTTTTACGCAGTCAAATTCGTAATGGGCTGTCGAGATAATCGCGTGCCAGAAAGTTGTATTCGCCGGCCTGCAAAGGAGTTGATGTCAGAAACGACACCGAGTTATGTCGTGAAACAGCGTCAACGTCGGCGCGTCTCCGACACGTCGACCTCACCACACTCTGCAGCCAAGACGAAAGTGTCTGACGACACTCCAAAAGTCACGGCAAAAAGGAAGACAAAGCAGACGGCAAAGCAGAAGCACTCGACTATGGTGTTTCTATGCTCGGGGTTCGAAAAGTGTCGGATGCAGCAGATCAAGAAGTGGGCTGACCAGCTTAAAGCTGAAGTTGTACAATGTTGGACCCATGACGTGACCCACTTGATTGTGAAATGCGTAGATGGCGACGATGCCGAGGAAGGGGACTCTTCGATAGACGATTTTGAAACTTCGTCGTCAGGACGGAAACACCGTCATGAGAAGCATCGACGATTCACTGGATCGAAGTCAGGCCGATGGGTGAAGACTCGATCGCTGAAATATCTCAAGGCGTTAGTTGCTGGTCGGTGGATTGTGAGCGACGAGTGGCTCCAAGGTCAGATAAGTTATTTGCGCTTCTGGGTTGCTGCTAAACGCTAACTGCTTTTTTGTTGGTGTATCTCGATTGCGTCTTATGTTTGTTTTAGCTTGTGCTGAGCATGGCAGTTATGTCAGCGAAGCAAAGTATGAGGTTGACGGTCATTGGAAGGGAAGGGGTAGTCAAGACGCCGCCAAGCGGTCACGGCTGATACGAGAAAAGCTTCTCCAGTTGTCTTCACCAGATGTATGGTTCTGGCTCATTCTACATCTATCCAATTACCTGAGTTTGACATTCTGTTGTGTACGTTGTATGCTTGTTCCAGATCGACCGCTCAACTGTTGGCACGACGCTATTTGCCGATTTCTGCTTCTACATTGTTGGTGAGTTCCTTCCTCCCATACCACCCGTTGCGGAGCTAAACACCTTGATAACCATGGGCAATGGGAAACTGATCACATCCATGGACGATATCCGTGACGAGATGCACAAACGCGAGAATCGCACACGGAAACTTATTATTGTGTCGGACAAGATCAACCCGACTGCTTTACGTCAGCAGACGAGGTACCTCAAAGCGTTGTCCCAAGTGAAAGCGGTGCGGTCAGTGATCGTTGTGAATTACTTGTGGGTGGTCAACAGCATCAGCGAGGCGAGTCTCCGCGGCCTTCCTGTGTTGTGATCTGCGCATCGCTTCTCGCAAACTTGGTAATATCGATGAAGTGCACTACGTGGAAGTTGGGGTGAGGTCATCAGCGGGTGTTCCTTCAGTCTACTTGGGGTTTGCGAAAGCACTGGACAAGACAAAAGCGAAATTTGAGAAATGTTGCTGGCGCATCACTAAGGCATTCGCTCGCGTACCACAATGAGCGGTTTGTCCTTTAACACGACGCCATGGACGTGAAGTAAGGCAGTATGTGCAAGTTGAGCGGTGGGATATTTGACGAACGCCTGGCACTTCATTCGACCTACAGTAAAATGCCGGATGTCCAAGGCGCTGCATGATCGATGATACAATGGGCAATATGTTAGGTCAGTTGCCATTTGTTGACGATACGCGGATGAACGTCGTACTCGGGCATAGAATCAGGTGGCAGGACAGCTCCAAACACAGCAATGAGATCTGCCAATTTGACCCGTGGAGCAAGGTTCTTCACAAACAGCGTGTCTGAAGGCTTCCCGCGTTGATACCCCTTCATCGCCTTCTCCGTAGCAAGTTGAATTGCAGACAACCGCTTGGATTCGAGGTCCTGCAATGTCCAACGTGCAGCGGCAACAGACGTATCTAGCTCGGCTTCGGAGGTGTTGTAGAAGCTCTACAATACACGTGTTGCCCACAAGATCGGTGTTAAGGGCGCGTTCTGTACCGTAAAGCGTTTGTCACTTTCGTACCACGAGCAGAGTTTTGCCTTCAAATTGTACGCCATGAAGCAAAGTCACTGCCGATGTGGCCACCACTTCATCGGGATAAGCTACTAGAGCAGAGCCTCTTGCTGACAGCATCGTAATCTTTATCAAGCTAGACAAAAACACGCAATCAGTTCAAGCTCTTTGTACTGAACAGGTATATTTGTAATCAGCACGTACTCCAACGCCATGTCCGTTGGCAACACGTAGCCAAAGATTGAGCGCAGGTCTTTTTCGTCCATTGCATGTGGAACGTTCCTCACCATGATCGTGCGAGATGGTACTCCACGGATGTAAGATTCCACCAGCGGCTCCTTTGCCAACTCTATTCCACGCAATGTGATAACATACGTGTAAGTGTCTCCGCAAAACATCAAAGGCAGAATCGCATCGTACTTTTCTGCGGAAGCCGGCGTCGATTGACCTCATTCTCTGAAATGACACCGGGACGCGAAAGATGAGACCCGTTTTGGTAGCCGTCTTCATTTACTTCAAACTGACATGCTGTGTTTAGCTTGGCGGTCTTCTTTGTCGATGAAAGATCCTTTCGTCGCGCCAACGGTTTGCCGATAAGCTCACGCGGATGATCCCCACGCGTTCCAGCACACTTTCCATAGTCGTTCTTTGTACATGACGTTCGGCTGGCGGCGTTCCTCATTTGATGCGCTGGTAGTGGTGGACGAACGTGAGCAGTGCAAGCGTCCTTTTCTTTGACCACAGCATCTGGACCGTCGACATCACTTTCCTCTTCTTCTTCCTCTTCTTCGGCGATCCGTGCATTCGAAGTTTCATCGACCTTGTAGCGCTTTATTCGCTCTCTGTGTATAAAACTCATATCCCCATTATTCTGTCGACGTTCCTTTTGTTTCGCTGTAAATCGCCCAGGGATGGCGTCTTCCTCGAACGGCGGCGGGAGATTCATCTTGTTCATTAGGTGCAGCACTTGCGTGTAAAAGCGGGGCAACGCAATCAAGGCTGTACGTACAAAGTAGCAGAATCAGCGTCATGAATGCAGTCGTACATGCACATACACGTGTACGTGAGCTTCAAGTACTCAAGCAGCACAGACCATTTGCAATATTGCGCACAATGCTTTCAGTTGCTCTCGGGTACTTGTACTCAAGCAGTGGCGAAGGTGCGTAGTCTAAGCTGTCCATCCATCAGCACTTAGCCTCAATATTGACACATTGACCCAGTTTCCTAACATGGACAAACTCACCCTAGATGCGGGGCCAGAGGTACCGGGGCATAGACATTGTCCTGGAACAGAGGCGGCATCGGTGGAAGTGGCGGCATCGGATGAGAAGGAAGCGGTGGGGGTTGGCGCTTCGCATGAACGGTGTCCCGACTGCACACAGTCGCCACTTTCCTTTCACTCAACCTGGTTGTATCCTCTTCGCCAACCGGGTCCACCTGCAATTGGTGACCTGCTAACTCCAGCAACTGAAGTCGTTGCTGCGCATTCTTCTGCGCTTCACGAGTTCCAAATGTTGCAATAGCTTTCTGCGACTGTTTTGCAATCGCACCCGGTTCTTTGCCGCTTGACACCACTGCATTCTGCACGCAATCGACAAAAGCACGAAATGTAACGCAGTAAAAACTCGATATTTCAGCATCTCATTGGTGGTACAGAGCGAAGAAAACGCTAGCGACGTACTGGACGCTGGAAGACGCGGATACGAGTAGCGCCGTAGTGCGAGAGTAAGGACGTGATTGTCTCAGAGGATAACGCGGCCGGTAGATTGCGCACACGCAGGCAGAAGCGCTCGCTAGTGGCCATTTTGGTTCGATTCCGAAATAAGTCAAGTTGAAAATAAACTGTGTACAACAACAATGAATGATCGTGGCAAAAGTGTCTTTGTTGCAAAAGCCCGTGCAGTAGCAAACTCACTATGTGTCGAAACATGGAACTGGTCTCGCGTCGTTCACACACTTTTCGCTTTCTAATTCAGGCGTTGGGAAGAGCCCCCGCGTCACGGCGCAGCTGGTATCAGCTTTGCAGCATTTCCTGAATGGCTTGCAGCACATCTTGCTTCTCCTCGAGCGTCAACTTTACCACGAGGTTCAAAATCGTCGCCACGGACGGGATCCGCGATCTACAGAACACACGAGCAAGCAACGATGATCTAGTCAGCAGGGCAAGATATGTGGTGCAATCAACTGCGTTGCTCGTGCATACCGGATGAAAGTGTTGAAGTAGACTGTCGTAAAGCAATTCGTGATAAGTTGGCAATCCATTCGGTCCATGACACCACCATGGCCCGGAATGACCGAGTCGAAGTCCTTCAGGTGGTACGTCCGCTTGATCGCTGACGCGTAGAACCCTCCAAAGGGCGATATGATCGATGCGAAAATGGCAAACCAGAATGAGTGGAGCTGCATCCAAACCCAATACACGTGAAGTTATTGATTGCGATGGGTTCAGCAAATCACGACGGATGTACAAACCTGGATCGGAAGCAGTTGAATCTGGCTGCGGTTGATGACACGCGCGATAAAGACCGGGACGTCATAGGAGTGCGGGAGGAATACATCGTGAGGAGTGCATGTAAGTGGATCGGGTATCAGCTTGAACTGCAACACACAATCACCAGAAAGTAGCCATGAGCGATCTGAACGGCACCGCATGCTGCAAACGGAACACAGCTTGCCTCAAAGCTCTCAACTGGGCAGGTCAGCCAAGAAAACTAAAAAACGTAAAAACAATAACGCGTTGATCAATGAACCGTCACGAGCACAACAACAAGTCACCTCACACTACAGTACCCGAGAAATGAAAGCGCTGAAGAAAAAGGCATACACAATGGTACACAAAAGAGCACCGATGAATCCCTCCCAAGTCTTATTCGGGGACAGGCGCAGGAACGGTGTCTTGATAAACTTGCGGCCAAATAGTTTGCCGCAAAAGAAGGCAAAACAGTCGTTGCAGATCACCACCGAAACGGGGAACAAGAACCAGAATAGGCCTTTTGCATTGACAATCAAGTCGGCATCCCGTCAAAAACCGGCAACATCTAGATCTGCTCCGCACGAGCAAAGTTTATCGTACCGTTAAAGATGTTCGTGAGTACGTATTTCATCTGGAAGACAATCAGACCCAACGTCACGATCGTCCATGTATATTGTCCTATGGAGAAGCAAGTACAACCACCAACGACAATCAGCTTGTACAATCACGCATACTCAAGCACTAGGTATCTGCTGACTTGCCCATTTGGTACTTGTAGTACCCTAGTCAATCATCCATCAGTCAACGGGTCCGTCAACCGATCCATTTGTCCATCGATAATTACACGAAAAGAGCAGAAAGCGCGCGCGTGATCCACAACGACAACGGACCGTCAGTACCGAAACAGCCCCATCCCCACACTCTCCGTTGATTGCAGCACGTCACGCACCTTTCTTCAGACTCAGCACCGACATGACGAAAAGCAGCGCGTACATTGTGAACGAGACCCACGTGTGGTACCGCAGATAGTGCACAATTGCAGGAGGCACAAAGCGGATCTTGCTGCTCTCGATGAACGCGCCGAACGAGTCGCCGTAATTGTAAAAGAGCGCTACGACAAACCACATCCACTGCACCGAGCGGAACCACGGGATGTTCTTCTCCGCCGCCGCTCGGTAGCGCACGTTAACCAGTTCTCGGAACAGCAGCGTCTGCAGCACGACGACGAGCCCCCAGGCGTACATGTGGCCCCCGTACAGAATCGCGACGAACCCGCCGATCATTGCGAAGCTCATGACCACGCGCGTCATGAACTTAGTGGAGCCACTGGGCCTCGGCGCGGGTAGGGAAGCTCTGGCTGGCACGTGCTTGGGGTTGTCGCTGGCATCGGGCACCGAGCGGCGCTTGCGCAGAGCCATTGAACGACCGTGAGAGGGGTCTTACGCTTTGGTCGACGACCTGTGTGCCGAGTGGATAGACGACGACACCACACAACAACTTTGCGCGGTTTGTCAGTGCCTGTAGAAACGAATTTCTTGCCAAAAGGTCCCGATTGAGCTGCACACAGTCCACCGTATCGTTATATTCAAGAGCTTCGGGCCGATAGTGTTGTTGCTTCGACGATGGATCGACATGGTACGGTACGATTCCACACAGTCCGGAAGAATAAATGTCTGCGCGTAAAAAGGAGCTCTCGGTATGCAGAAATACAGAGATCGATATCGTGACGACCAATCACCGTCTCGTTTAAGGGCATGAATCGGACGTGGTCGTACAATCGTAGACAATTAGTCGATGATCGTTGAATTGGTAGCCCTTTCATTTCTTATATGGCCAGTTTTATCCGCATTACATAGCATGTAAGAATCAAGTCGAAATTAGTGGAGCGTTTTTGTCGATCTCACTCCGATCTCGTGCAAAGTACCGTTTCTATACCAAAAAACGGTACAGCAATTTTATAACCACAGTTTGGATGAGCGATATCATCAACGACTTGTGCGACGTCCATGACAGGCAGCGCCTGACGCCATTGCAAAATACGGTAGCTACATCACACACCTACCCATACACATTCAATCATTGTGTGCAAACGATGTATACTCGTTTTAGCGTGGTGCACTCGGCGTGAATACAAAGAGACAGCTTGTTCTGGTGAGAGCTAGTGCTCGGTAACATTTTATGTTGTGCGTGGAGAGTTGCTAGCTCTACGCACATGTTTGGCGGAGGGAAGCACGCATCGATCGCAACTCGATGAATAACACACGCAAAATAGATGGAGGAAGGCATCATAGCTAGCAACGGGGTAGAGTGGGCACCTGCTTTGCGGTACAGTACTATCGCAACAAATGCACTCGTAGAATAAACGTAAACCCGTTTTTGCAATCAATGCCCATCGATCCATATGGCTTATATCGATATCAGTCCAGACGGTAGATCGTTGTCATCATAGCTTTGCAATGTAAGCTCATTGGCGAAGAAAAACGGACACGATGAGGTGAGGTCATCAAGAAGAAGTTTCTACATGCTAATGCAAATCTCCACGCTCATGTGCGTACCGCCGTGGTCGACGTAGGGCAGAAGTGACGTAGCAGTTGTTTTGTGCAGAGTAAATCTCATTACCAGTACCACAAATGTACAAAAGTCCCAAAAGCAGTCTTATACTTTACTTAAGTATAAAAACACACTGAATAGTGTCAACCACATTATTTTTTGACTACAACATGGGACGAGAAAATGCTTCGATGCGAACGAGTGTTTCCACTTATTAGACAGCTGTCACGCATGGTCCCGAGCGCTCCATTTTCTACCATTGTTCGTTCACTTATAAAAGAGCGCCCACGCGCCGATGTGTCCACTTGCAGTGAAGCACATTGCATGCGAGCCCCGTCCTGGTCACACGAACTCGTGATCGTGGGGACCCCGTTGGGACACAGTACCGCTCGTGACCAGTGGCAGCAACAGGTCAGAGCTTACTGTTGATGACAACTGTGTTGTTAAACGATTGCGTGCAGTCCGTGTGTATGTATTGCAGTGCCAGGATTATGAATAAAAGTTGATATCAAGCTGATGACCGATTCGCGTGGGGCGCACCCGTATAAGCTCGATACCAGTGGCAGCAACAGGTCAGAGCTTACTGTTAATGACGAATGTGTTGCTAAACGATTGCCTTCGTGTTCGAATTGCGTTTATTTAGGGCTGCAAATTTTTAGACATATCTAACGATATATATAATGACCAAATAAATATCTTGCAAACTCAGTAGCGACTATCTTTGTTTTACTCGTTATAGTCTGATTACGAATGCCGCACCGTGAAATACATTTTGCATGGCAACACTGGAAATGCAAAGCAAAAACTACAGATGGAGAGTATGTATTTAATTCGAAATCAAAGACGTTGTCGGAGCTGGATGTAATTGTGTATTCGATCGATGAGGTGTTTTGATGATCTAATCACTGCAGCTTCATTTTAGTATAAATGCAATCTCTCATTGAGGTACGTGGCCACACCGTCTCCGTAATTTGAACAAATTGCCGTAAGGGCCTCATTGTATTCAACCTCTGTCTCCGTGGACTACAGTTTCCATATTGCATGATCAAATTCGCGTCCAGAGCAGCCAAAGTTGCGCTTAATATAACGAAATATGTGTTTCGCGCAGAGAATGATTTGAACGCTGATACCCGTCCATATCAACACTAGTTTCACGGCATCTTGAATTTTTCCACGATCGCACACGACAGCGACATTTAATAAAACTGATTCCAGCATTGACACACTGAATGGAAAACCACGCAGTATTGTCCTTGTTTTTCACGTGAACAAATGCTGATGCAACCTTGGAGTTTTTCCGTTTCCATCTCATCCAATTAGATAAATTATCACACCATTATACTTTCCGTGACGATGGTGGGTGCCATCAAAGCCAACCACCGGGATATTGAAAGGATGGCTGTCGACTGCAACTCCAAGTGCCGCAAAACATAAAAATCATGATTGTGCTGTTCCATATAAGTGCCACAGTGCTGTCTGGATTGACGCGCATTAATTCCACCAGCTGTGGGGGCAAGGAGAGGGAAAGACGATTTCCGTTTACCTTCCATGGAATCAACCACCGCATCCTTGGACCTGTAAAGCTTCACGTAATGCTGCTGTAAAATATGTGCCATTACGATCCTTTACAAGCGCCACAATTGACTTACGATTGATATCCTTGTCGCCTCTGACCGCGTTATAGAAAGTTGGCAGCAGCTGAATTTTACCGAGCTAATGGTTTGGCTATAGCCATGCACACATCGGAGTGGCTATCTATAAATGTAGAATTGTAAAACTCGGGAGATCCACCCACCCATTCTTGCTTCTTTATACGTACCTCCCACAAGCATCCGTCTTGTGGGCATAAATATGTCTTGCTTCTGCTACTACTCTTCTTCACCTTGCACTGTCGATTTTGATTGAAACAGTAATATTTTATATACGCGGTTGTAGCAACGCCGGATCGAAAGGTTAGATCACACGTCAGGCCAATAGTACCTTGAATAGCGCCCTATTCGATCGCCGCAGTTTCTCGAGACGTCTTGATGTTACGTTACGCAAAAGGGCTCATACAAACCATCCAAAAATATAACAATTTGATCAAGTACTTTATCTCGATATAATATTGTATAGGCTTGTTCGCCTACTACTATTTTCGAACCAATTTAAGATCATCAAATTCATTCATCAACATAATGTATGTCTGTCGTTCATATTCCTGGCACTGCAATACATACACACGGACTGCACGCAATCGTTTAACAACACAGTCTATCATCAACAGTAAGCTCTGACCTGTTGCTGCCACTGGTCACGAGCGGTACTGTGTCCCAACAGGGTCCTCACGATCACGAGTTCGTGTGACCAGGACCGGGCTCGCATGCAATGTGCTCATTGCAAGTGGGAACATCGGCGGTGTGGTGGAGTGGTAATCACTCATTTCCCTAGACAATATCGACTCTCCACTGGCGCCCGGACTAACGACTAACGGAGGAAGTGTTTCGATCTCGTGCTCTGTGTTTTCTTGCTCACCTTGTGTACCCGTCGGTGGGGCGGGTTGCGCTCTTCTTGGTGGTACTTGAGCTGAGGCTGAACTTGACTGTTTTAGGGATAGGGGTTGATCGGGTGGAAATTCTTCACCCGGTCAAACGTAGGGGTGGATTGAGTGGACATTCTTCACTCGATTGTGTGTATACTCGGGAGATCTCCCAGAGTCGTCTTTGTCCAAGGGTGATGCTTGATGCGCGAGCCTTCTGAAAACTTGAGCCGTCTCGTGATCTTGAATCCGAACGGCAAGGTTATCTGCGTCCGATCGCAGTTGGGGGGTTGAGAATTGACGTTCCGCCTATCCACAGAATCCAAGGGCAAAGTTAGCAGAGACGCGGCTGAATATCTGTTCGATGGGATGCCAACGATCCTATCCGGGGATGTCGACGCGTGTCTTTCGTTGCGAATTCAGTTCTGTTCAATGTCAACCAACCAACTCCAAAATTTATGACTGCTCCTATCTGTTTTCTAGGTCAACTATTGCGTGTCGCCTGTCTATATAATTTGCTTCTCGCATCATGTGATCCACAGCAGATACTAATGTAGCGGACCGATCGGCAGTGGATCGCTCGGTAGTGGAGCGAATGGGTAGTGGGTAGCACGGGTATCGGATCGCTCGGACAGCGGATTGCGGTATTAAAGGCGCACCTATTACGTTTCACACAATCAGTCTGTACACTCCCAGGATAGATCGTGGTCAATCTTCCGCGACTTTGATCGGGCATTTACGGTAGGATCGCTGTCTCTTCCGGAACTTCGCATGATCAATGATCTTGATGATTCACTCCTCCAGCCTGCTTCCACATTCACCCATCATCCCTTGTTCGTTATCGATTACGTAATCTTGATGTTGATCACCTCTTGAGTACGCCTGTCTCCTGCAGCTTAGTGACTCAGAGTTCGTGATCGCGGATCGCGATCGGCCAATCGTCAATCTGAGACTCATACTCCTTCTTGCCCTTTAGGTAAATCAATTCGCACAACTTCGACGATTGTTTTCCTTCACTCACTCTGTTGATCTCATCCCTCGTGACCACGGGCCCATCTCCGAGAGCGCTCCACCAATCAAATTGGTTTCGAACTAAATGCGGTTTGCACGACTCTAAAATTTCCATCATTCTTCACTTCAGACTTCTCCACAAAATAGTTATACTTGTTTCGCGATAGATATATGACATGTATTTGAAATATATAGCAAATGTAACGTTTGTTTGCATTGCATGTATAAGGTAGTGCTACAGCCTCTGTAAGTGGTATGTATAATATAGCCTGCTGTCTAAAAAAGAGAAAGAAGATAGGCGAGTTTAAATTCAACTCAGATAATCCTTCCTCGTGATAA